CGTGACAGGAAGGAGACGTGACAGGAAGGAGACGTGACAGGAAGGAGACGTGACAGGAAGGAGACGTGACAGGAAGGAGACGTGACAGGAAGGAGACGTGACGAGAAGAACACGTGACTCGAAGCAGACCAAGCAGCTTCGTTCCTGTGTTATCATCGCTCTGCCATCACCACCATGGACGAGCGGGTGAAGCTATTCATGGAGGTGACCAATTTGTTGGATGAGGAGGAGGCAGAATCCATTTTGAGGACCTGTCAGGGGAATCTGGAGGTACGTCTCGGATGAGGAGCCACTCCGTGTAGCGTGTCGGCACTTTGCCCCTTCCTTTCTGTGGGTGAACAATGTTTTGTTCTCGACCGGATGGGCTCCATTTGTGAATCCCTTTCCCCCTATGCAGGAAGCGATATCGACGTACTTAAGGAAGGTTGACTCTGGGGCACTAGACGAGGTGAGAAGAGGGAGGATCCTCTCTGTGCGGGAGAATCACCCGAGTGAGGGGAACAAGCTGTCCTCTGTGTACTCACCTCTGCGCAGACAGCAACTGTCACAATTGCGCGTCCCAATTGATGCTAATCTCCCCAAATTGCCGCTAATTCCCCCCTGGTGAAGGACCCCCCCGGAAACGCATCGACCAGGAACTGCGGGAAGAGCCACGTACGGACTAACGTACCGACGAACCAGCAGACGGATAGAAATGGAATGTGCCATGGGAACGAAGACAAAATCGAGCGAGCCAATCTGTTTTACGTATTTAACCAACTGGGATCGTTAGTATGTCCCATTGTTAAAAGTGTGTGCAACCTTCTGTCGGCTTGCCTCAAGCTGGTGAGCACGTACATTGTAAACTCTCCAGAAAGCGACACATTCGCGGCATACTATGAGGAGAGGTATGGAAGGGGTCATGTTAATTTCTTCAAAGGGAGTCTAAGTGAAGCCATCAAGGTGTCTAAGCAGGAAGAGAAGTTACTGCTCGTGTATCTACACATTGAAAATAACGATAGCTCCTATTTCTGTGAATCCATTTTTAAGAATGAGCAGATAAAGTCTCTTTTTGACAACAATTGTATTCTGTTCGCACAAGACATTACTAAGGGGGACATAAGGGAGCTCAGCAATGTGCTGAACGTTTTTGTCCTACCCCAGATTAGCATCCTCCAGACGAGTCATGTCAGAGAGTATGAGGAATTGTCCATAATTTACGGCACCCCGTCAGCTAGCCACATTATGAACACGGTAGCTCACTGCATTGAGCAAATGGATAAGAAGAAGGAAAACCAAGATAAAATAAACAATAGAACCTACACCGATCGACTGATTCGAGAGGAACAGGACAGGGAATATCAGGAGGCTGTGAAGAAAGATGAACTGAAAGTCAAGGAAAGGAAGAAAAAGGAAGAGGAGAAAATGAGAAGGTTGCATCTGAAGAAAGATATTAGAATGAAGAGAAAGGAGAAGGCCAATAAATTTCCTTTGCCAATTAAAGACAATGAGAAGGTCACCAAAATCTGCGTTAGGTTGCCGAATGGGGTCAAAATTCAAGAGAAATTCAGCTTAAATCATACCTTAGAGAATGTGTATGAGTGGGCCGAGTGCTCTGAATTTTTGCGACAGGACTCTGGCAGCGCAAAAGGAGAGATCACCATTCCGTTGAAGTTTGACTTGATATGCGGCCACACCAAGGCCGTGCTTCAGCGCGGTGGCAACGCGCTTAGGGAGTTCGACCTTTACCCCAACGCAGTGCTAAACATGAAGTCGTTGGACTCGTCCGACGAGGAGTGAAGCGGCTGAGAAGCGGTGTGCGGAGGCGAAGCAGCGTGCGGCACTTCCCCAAGAAGGGGCTCACGATGGTTGCGCGCCAGTGTGGCAAATCTCCTGTTGGGTCTCTTCCCCATGGCTGGCAGCACGTGACCCGTTTTATTAATGTTTTTCCCCGTTCCGTTCCCGTATCGTCGCCACTATCACCTCTTCGTCACCGCTTCTTCACCGTGGCCTTTTCTTTCCCCTTTCCCTTTTTCCTTTTTTTTACGTTGGGTGCATTTGACGTGGCAGTGCCGGCGAGGTGCACCCCCTTCAGCTCGCCCGCCCTTTCCACCGCCACTAACCACCCCTTGCCGCGTACACACATGCGCAATGTTTATGTGCCCCACCAACAATTTGTGTTTTTTTTCGAAGTAAGTCTCCCCTCAAGGGTGTGCACTTGCCTGCACACGTAGTGTGAGTACCACTGACTCTTCACGTGCAAATGTATGAAGTGATGTTTTTTCCTCATATTTGCATCTTGGCGATAAGACTTACAGCCATTACGTTATGATGAGTAAGCACACCACAGATGTGGAGCCAATGGTAGGTATCGGTCCGATGTGTCAAGGGGTCCCCCAGAAAAGAAAAAAAAAAAACGGACCTACACAGGGCTTGCACGTACGCACATGTGTGCGGTGGGACATAAGGAGGGGAAACAGCGCCGAAAGAGCGTGGAAAGACGGGTGGACGACAAAATGAGCCCCGTGCACATGAGATGGAAAAATCGTTCGCATGAGAAGACAAGGCTGGTTGGAAGGCCCTCTGTTTGCTCATCTTCTCTTTGTTTCATTTGGGGAATTTTTTTTCCCCCTTGCCCCCTGAATGAGTTTTGCACCTTCAAGATTGCGTTTGTCCTTGCCTTTGTCCTTGCCCCTGTCCCTTCCCCTTGCGCACATGCACCTGTGCGTGCGAAGCTGATGAGGGAGGAGTCCACTTACACCTCCGTTGAAGATACGCGAGAGCCAACTCGTGTCAACGCATTGCAGGAAAAAAAAAGTGGAAATGAAGTGGAAATGTAGTGCAAAGGAAGTAGAAAACAAAATAGCCTGACATGACAGAAAAAAGGAATTCATACCCACTCAGGAGTCCTTATATGCTGCATTACTTTAGCCCGAATAGGGAAAGCAATCACTTGAGCAAAAAAAAGAAAAAAAAAAAGCAGAGACTTGTTCATTTGACGTTCCTAGAGAGTGTCTTTCTTCCCCCTGTTGTGTCATTTCAAGAAAGAAACGTAAAATACTAATTGTGAATGAAGTGTAAAGGCAAACAGTGATACGAAGGGAACTGTCTGCGCCTGTTCCTTTTTCATCGAATCACATGGACAAGGAAGAAGCGAGTAAGACCGCCGTGTCGCCATCGACAAGGTAAAAATAGGAACGAACTGAATGAGCGTCGTGTGAAGTAGAGTTCCTTTCCCTGGTGTCTTGCTGTGGAGAGACGTCACGAAGTGTCAGACAGAGCAGACAGCAATGCAGGAGGTACACGTTCGACGGAGTGGATGCTCTTTTGTTTTTTTTCCTTTTTGCGTGTCCTTGGCCAACCTGTTTCCTTCCGGCGCTGTGTGTAGTCCATCGGACGGAGTTAACAGCCTCATACGAATATACACACATGAGGGTCGGTACATGCCAGTGGGTACCTGTCATTTCATAATTAGTCGTCCCCTCTCCCGTCAGAAGTGAGTACTTCCCCCTCTGCCGCAGCGAAGGACCACTTGGCACCCACCCAGGGAAGTCAAACCATACCAGGTAACGCACAACACGGAAATGGTCCAAAGAATAGACCACATCCGGAGGACAGGAAAAAATTACATGTGAACAGAGTGTGCATGCAGAAAAAAAGGGGGGGTCGTACATGCGGTTGGGATCTCTGTATGTATTTTCCCGTGGCAATGCATATGGTTGGGTCCCCCCCGAGGCTGCATCTTTTATTTTGTTTCATTTTATCCGCACGCAACTTCCACCTGGAGTATGTCCAAAATCGGTGGCACCCGCGGAGGGGAAATATTCCGGTAGTCACTGGATCGGTCATTCCGGAAGTCATTTTGTCAGCCAGTGGGGCAGCTATTCCGCCCGTTATACAAAACAGCCAGTCCGTATGTACACACCCGCGCTGAACGTGTGATTATTAGGCCTTCTCCGTTTGGGCAATTTTTCGTTGCGCCACTGGGAAGGGGAAAGGCACCTTCGCAAGCGTACTGGTGCGTTCTGGCGGAAGAGGAGGGGGAAACGGTGAACGGATGGCGGACGCTTCGTAGTACATTTTTTGCCAACGTTAAGTGAAAGAATTGGAAGACGCTCCTGAATGTGTATTTTTTTTTTTTTTTGCGTAGTTGCATCCGTCTGATTTGTTCTGAGCTGCGCTGCGTTTTCTTTTGCTCTGTTCTGTTTTGTTTTGCTTTGTTCCGTTTTGTTTTGCTTTGTTTTTTTTGCTTTGCTTTGTCACACCTCGCGGCGTTACACCTAGTTGTGTTTTTTTTTTAACGCTGTCCGCTAGCTGACGCTTGGCAGACTCGGCTGCACCATTTTCAGCCCCGCACGTTGACCAGATCGACGCGGCGAGTGACTTTCCTGCACGCTTCTTCACCCCCACGCTTTTTCCCCCTCCCGATTAACGATGATCCAGTTTCTGAAAAACCTGCATCTGCACAAGAAGAAGGACAGTGGAAGCACTAAAGAGCCGAAGAGGGAAAGTAAAATGAAATATGAAGACTTCAATTTCATTCGAACTCTTGGCACAGGTGGGCATTCCTCAGGAGTGAGTAGCGGCAGGCTGGAGAACTGAGCAGGCTGCAGAAGCCAGAGGAGAATTGAGCAAGCTGGCCAAATGAGCAACTTCGGATTCTCTGATCCGAACATCCCATACGTTGAGTGGAACCCCACACACACCTCCCCGCGTAGGTTCCTTCGGAAGAGTGATTCTCGCGACGTACAAGAATGAGGACTTTCCCCCGGTGGCCATCAAACGATTTGAGAAAAGCAAAATCATCAAACAGAAGCAAGTCGATCATGTCTTCTCAGAGAGGAAGATTCTTAACTACATTAACCATCCCTTCTGCGTAAGGAGGAGTGGTGGCAGGAGCGGTGCGAAGGGGAGTTATTTCAGCTGCGCTATTCCAACTGCGCCACTCTAGATGTGCTGCCCCTCCCGAACAACAGACACTAAGCAGTGATGCCTGCGTCCCCTCTCTGCAGGTCAACCTATATGGATCGTTCAAAGACGAGTCCTACCTGTACCTTGTGCTGGAATTTGTAATTGGGGGCGAGTTTTTTACCTTCCTGCGAAGAAACAAGCGGTTCCCCAACGACGTGGGGTGCTTTTACGCGGCGCAGATCGTCTTGATATTTGAGTACCTCCAAAGTTTGAATATCGTGTACAGGTGGGTGAGGGAGAGGAGAAAGTGATTTACACTCGGATTACACGTGTCACGCATTATAGTTGCGATGTAATCAGGGGTTACCCCCCAAACGTGTGTCTGTCCAACTGCCTTATCTCGCCTGTTTCCTCCCCCCTGAGCAGAGACCTGAAGCCAGAGAACCTACTGCTCGACAAGGATGGGTTCCTAAAAATGACTGACTTTGGATTCGCCAAAGTTGTGGACACGCGCACGTACACCCTGTGCGGGACCCCCGAGTACATTGCGCCGGAGATTCTCCTCAACGTCGGCCATGGCAAGGCGGTGAGTGCACGGTGGGGCAGCCCCCCACATCCCGCTCTCTGGAAGGGGGCAGTCACAGGCGATGCAGCTTCGTCGCAACTACCGCTTTGAAACAGTAGGCGCGTACACTAGGCACCTACACTGGTCACCCCCTACAGTGGCTACCGTGTACGCTGACCTCCTCTCGTATGACCGCTTCATTCCCCCTCTACAGGCAGACTGGTGGACCCTGGGCATCTTCATCTATGAAATCCTGGTGGGGTGCCCCCCCTTCTACGCAAACGAGCCCCTCCTGATTTATCAGAAAATCCTGGAGGGCATCATATACTTCCCCAAGTTTCTAGATGCGAACTGCAAGCATCTCATGAAGAAACTCTTGTCTCATGATTTAACCAAGCGGTACGGGAACCTAAAGAAGGGGGCTCAGAACGTGAAGGAGCACCCCTGGTTTGGGAACATCGACTGGGTTAGCTTGCTCCACAAGAATGTAGACGTGCCTTACAAGCCAAAATACAAAAACATTTTCGACTCCTCAAACTTCGAGAGGGTTCAGGAGGACTTAACCATTGCGGATAAAATTACGAACGAGAACGACCCCTTCTTCGACTGGTAGGTCTGGCCTTCGCTCGGTTGGTCGTTGTAGTTCCTTTTTTTTTTTTTAAAGGGGTTATCCCAATTCGTGTGCATAATTTATTTCTTTCCTTTTTCTTTCCTTTTTTTTTCCTTTTTTTTTCCTTTTTTTTTCCTTTTTTTTTTCTTTTTTTTCCTTTTTTTTCCCTTGTTTTTGTCGTTATGCACAATTCGAACGACTTCGTCGTGTCTTCGTCTGCTTAACCGTCCGTTTTATTGGCCCCAAGGCGATCGTCCATTTCGCCATTTCACGTGGCATTCCCCGTTGGCGCCTCACCTCCCGCGGCAATTGTCCATGTCGTCCCAACTTCGCGAAGCGATTGAACAGGCGTCGTGGAAAGGTATCCTCTCGTGTGACATGGCAAGTCGATTGCGAGGAAATGTCACCGTTCGTGTGACATGGCCAGTCGTTTACGGGGAAAGGTGGCCGTTCGTGTGTCATGGAGAGTCGTTCAGGCGGTGTGATAACCCCCTTTGTGAGTAACGCTGCGCCGACGTGGGGGCAGATGGCTCGCCGGTCCAACGGAAATTTTGCCACCTATATGGAACGTTCTCATAGTGGAGTTACCGCTTTGGTGAATTCCCCCTTTTGTGGAGTACCCCATTTTGTGGACTATCCCCTTCTGTGGACTATCCCTCTCTGTGGACTACCCCCTCCCATGTGTGATTCCACACCGTGGATGGAAACAAAATGATATACAGTAGTGATTGGTTTTGGATAAGTGATAAAAAAAAAAAAAAAGTTACCACTGGGGTGTGAGTAGAAGACCGTCCCCCCCCAAAGGGTCATGTCCCCAGGAGAAGGGGTACATATGGTGGCACCAATTTGACTGACCATCTGGGTAGCTGTCCCACCGGAGGGGGGAAGCTTCACCACAGTGTCACATTCCTGTAATTTAAAAGGTGAATTAAATCGGGGGGAATTCTGTTCACACTGATGTATTCCCTGTTTTGCATTTCCCTCTTGTCCTCTTCCGTAGAAGCGGGCTGGAGGAAAGGGAATAAAGATTTGTTTCTCTTCTTCATCTTCCCCGCGTTGTCCACTTTGGTGGCCCTTCGTATGTCAGTCTCACATGGATAATCTAGTCCATTTTTGTAACTGTATAGCAGATCAGAGCAGTTCACCATTTTCAAACTTCTATTCTGTACAGTGTTGGCTGCGTCGTAGGGGTCAGGCCATCTGTAATGCTTTATGTTTACTTTCACAAGTTTGAAGAAATATTTGTACGTGGAGTAATGCTCTCCGAAGATGCTGTAGGGGGAGGGGCCGAGGTAGATGGTGAGATTTTCCTTAGCGGGTACCTTGGGCAGGAATCGGCAGTGGCGGTCCATCGTTTCGATCAGGTTGTCTGCGGGGGGGGAGGGCAGCAGAGAAGGGTAAAGCGCATTAGAATGGGTGAGAAGTGGTTAGCTTTATTAGCGTGGGTGATAAGTGGTAAGCATTATTCGCTTCGGTGGGAAGGTTTGGAGTTCCCTCTTATGTTCACTGCACGGACAGGACTGCTGCCGCGGAGACTTACCATCGTTGTCGAAGAAGAAGACGTCAGGACAGAGTTCCTTATATTTGTCTCTGTCGCAGATCCTCTCCTTTAGAAAAAAAGCCTCCTTCATTCTGTTGTAAAGAAGAAGTTCCACCAGATCGAGCATCCTATCTGCATTTTTTTCGAAGCACCTCACTTTTCTCTCTTGTCTTTTTATCGAATGGGAGATGTACGCGAGGTACTTCTCCCTTTTTGGTTTCTCGAGTGTATCCTCTGATGAGAGTACCGTCTCCAGGTGTGCCTCCTCAGGGTGGAAGACCATGTGTACACTTCCTGCTTCGGCATACCCATGGATAGAAGCTGAGACGTTTTCAAATGTTCCCACGTGCTTCAACGGATGGCCTGCAAACAATGTGATGTCCCTTTTGTTCAGCTCCCCTGTGAGAGCACCCTCTCGCACTGCATCCTTCCTTTTCCTTTTAAGGAACACACTGTTACGCCTCTTCCTCTGCACACGCGCGTAGTAATTTGTGTACCTTCTATTCCTCTTAAACGTCCTGCATTCTGGCAGGGTCCTCCTTTTTCGAATACTACATTTTGTATGCTCTCTGGTGAAGCATGTGCCATGCACCTTTTGGTTGGTGGAGTAGAGACAGGGGCTGCTGTATCGACTTGTGTAACGCGGGAGTGAAGCGGACTCTTCCTCCATCAGAGGGGGTGCTGGATAGGTTGTCTCTGGGTAAGCTCTCTCTGGGTAAGCTGTCTCTGGGTTGGACTCAACCGATGGCGACGTGCATTCATCCGCGTGCTGTTCTAATTCTTCCCTGTCATCTCTGCACGTGGAAGCACTTACCCCTCTTCGCTTGGAACAGCTCGGCGAGCACCTATCCTGACTGTCATGATGAGGCACATCGGGCAGATTCATCACATCAGGCACATCAATCACGTCCATAACACCAGGCAAGTCCATCACATCAAACGCATCGAAAGGGTTGCTGCTACTCAGTCGGTTATTGTATATGCCCTTCATGTTTGCATAAGAGTTGAAGAAAATTGCATTCTCCATCTTAAAATCTTCGTAAGTGTATTTGGGCGCTTTTCGCTTGGCCTGGCTGCGTGCGCTTGTGGCGCAGAAGGAGCGTAGAGGTTCACCCCGCATGCTCAAGGGGTGTGTCTTTACGAGGAATGTTCCGTTTGTGGCAGCAGAACTTGTCCTCAGACACCGTGGGGGGAAGGAAATGAAAAAAAAGAAAAAAAAAAAAATTACCACCTGGTCGTTGGTCACTACATCAGGAGAATGTGTGAACCGACGAGCCTATGCAGGTGGCCCTCCAACACACCCCGTCACGTTGAGAATGCTCCTGTGTGGTTGCAGTTGTGCCGCCCAACCTGGGTGAGAAGCGACTCAGGTTGTAAGGCGGAAGTTGTCAGAGGGAAGCTTTCACGTGGAAGTTCACCAACGGGAAAAGCTTGGAGTGACGCATTTGGGGTGATGGGGACTCGTTCTTCTTCCTCTTTCGTGAGTACCGCGCGTCCGGCTGGAAGATGAAGACAGGTTCTTTTTGTGGAAAGGGGTCTCCTTCCGTGGGTTTCTCAATTGTGCCCGGGAAGTCAACACGTGGCAGCTTTTGCGTCCTTAAAAAATTGGCGTCCTTTTAACGTGCGAAATTAAGAGGCTGCTTAGCGTACGTTTTGTGAGAAAAGTTGGCAGCTGGATTGCGTCAGGCGCGCCAGTTGGATTAAAACAAAAAAGAAAAAAAAAAAAAAAAGAAGAAAAAAAGACGAAGAAGAAGAAGAAAAAAAAAGTAAATTGTTTGGGTGGGGGAGCAGTTTCTATTACGTACAGGTGTACCCACATGTGTGGGTGGTTGTGTGCATGTGCTCTTACCGAGGCGCTTTCGCATGCTCATGCAGAAGGGAATCCATCGGTGCGCAGTTCCAGCGCAGATGTCGCCCAGTTGGTACACAGTTTTTGGCCAGTTGGTTCTCATTCCCTGGCATTCTCTTCTGCCCAGTTGGTGGGCGGCCAAGTCAGCCGGACCACGAGATGTTCATCGGGTGGTGGGGAGTCACCTTAAAGCTCTGCAAGCCGCTCATCGCAACTTCCCCATTCTGGTAAGAGCTGAAATCCACAAAGGCCACGTTCCTGCCGGGGATATGCCTGACCTCGCAAAAGCCAGGGTACTGATTAAAGAGAATCTCCAGAGCATTCTTATTTATTTCGTTTGGTAAATTCTGGACAAAGAGGGTAAACACGTTGTCCTTATTTTCGTAGCTTGTTGTCGATTTATAATTCGTAATTGGTTTATACGTGCCCTCGAGCTTTTCTATGATTCTGGATTTTGTCTTCGCATAGTTGATATTTATGTGCTTATTGAGGAAGAGCTTCCCCTTTAGATTTTTGTAGGCCAGGGTGGAAGATGCGATGGTGTTGAAAACGACGAAGGCTTGGCCTCTGGACTGGTTGGCCTTCTTTATAACAACGTCGAGAACATTCCCATAGGGGCAGAAAAACTCGAACAGAAGATTTCTCAGATCCTTAACGTTTATTTTCTCCTCCAGATTGTTCACATACAGTGTCTGGTTCGGGGGGATGTCGAAGGGGTCCATGCTGGGAGGGATGAGGGTCGCGTAACAGCAGCGAATCGGGGGCATACAATTTCAGATAATTAATTAGCTCTTCTCACGCCTGACTTGTCGGTCTGGAGGCCTGACTTATTCGTTTTCACGCCTCACGTGTCGGTTTGGAGGCCTCACTTCACTGTCCGCACTATCGCAGAAAGAGGTTGACGAAGGCCAGGATGACACACGCCACGGACACGTATAAGGACAGGCGGTCCCCAATGACTGCAAATTTGCCAAGGGTACCGAGGAACCCGTTTTTCTTGTTGTCGAAGACGTTGGGGAAGCGCGGCTTCAGGTATGTACATGTGCATATGCAGAGGATGATAACGGTGATCATGGATTCCAGGTTAAATAGCGCCGACATGGTGGGAGAGAGGGTGACGTTTTGCAGGTTGGCGTTTGGCAGGTTAGCCGTTTGGCGGATTGGGAGCCACTGTGTGGTGCTGTGCCCCTCTGTGTGGAGCTATGCCCGCTGAGATGATGAGCCCCTTTTCGACGGTGTAGCTGGGTTGCCGAGCCTCTATTCCTCTTGGAGTTGGCGCGCCGTGGCTATCTCTTACTCTGCGGAACTTCAGCCCCGCTGGTGCTCACCCCACTGCAACTCGACATTCGCGTCGAGTGCTGCAGAAATTCTCGAGCACAGAGAACGCCTAAGTCCAGGCACTCATGATAAAAAAAAAAAAAGAAAAAAGGCAGTTGCAAAGGTTTGTCCTTTTGCAAAAAAGGGGACCAGCAGGAATGGAATCCTTCCTAGCATGTGGTATAGGAAAAAAGAAGATAAAATAATGACGACGATGATGATGATAAGCACGAAAAAAAATAATAGGCACAAGAGTGCTCAAAGCAGCAGTGGGGAAGTGACTAATGGGAAATTCAGAAATATTAGCCCTTAGTTGTGCCAAATGCGATGGAGAGAGAGAAAAAAAATATACCAAAAAGGGGAGACTACTCTCCCTTTTTTGTCACTAGTCGTTCCAAGTCGACTTGCAGTGGCTCGACTGCGAAGACCGTCACCTGCGTCGCGTGTCCCATGGGAGCGCCACGCACAAGAACGCATACGGACATACGTTTGTACATACATTTGTACATACCTTTGCACAAGCCTCTGTATAAGCCTATGCAGAAACCTTTGCATATATATATGGGCGCTCTCTTGATTCGCTTCCCTCCCGTTGAGGAGCTGCCCAACCGGGACGCGAATCTGCAAAATGACCTCTTACAAAATGGCCGCTTACAGAATGGGCCCTTAGAAAATGGGGATCTCCGGGAGGGAAGAAGTTCACGCTGCGGCGAACCAGCGGAGTACTCAAAAAAATAGAATAAAAATAAAGTATAATGAAAGAAAAATAAAGTAGAATAGAATAAAATAACGATATTGCAACGGGGTGCTGCCCCCGCTATGGCGCCGCCAGCTCCTGCAGAAGCCGCTTAGAGCTGATGACCTCCGTAGTGAATATCAAGTAGTGGTACCCCCGGCTGTGTGTGTTCAAGTTGCGGATGGCGGCGATCTCCGCGTAGGAAATGCCGCCCACATAGAAAAGCAGCACGATGTCCTTGTACCCCTCCGGGTCTCCCCCCCAGAGTGCCTTCTTCCCCTTGTCGTCGACGCCAAACTTGCCATACCCAACGGCATTCTGCACAATGTCGAGCGTAGGTCCGCTCAATAAGTTAAAGATCTCTGGGAAAGCCTGCATGTTGTTCTTTAGTATTCCCATGTATTCTATTAGCCTCACGGAAAGAGGAGCGTACCCATTGCAAACGTATGATATATCGTTGTGCTCATTAGAGAGTAGGTTAAAATGGTTTCTCAGGTAGCTCCAAATGAATTTCTGCTTCGACTGATGTTTTAAAATGTTACACAGATGCAACTTATTTATACGACTCAGTTCTCTTATGCCATAATTCTCAAGGATGTCTTTTTTGAGTTCATTGGTATAGGTCTCACTGAAACCGTTTGTCACCACAGAGAAGAGACACAAAAGTCGATACACTTCATAGATGTCCTCATTAGAGTATATAAGAAGTTGAATCTGCTGGACGATGTTATGTAGAATGGTCCTATTGGATGTGCTATTCAACTGTATTATTTCGTCTTCCAATTTGAGTTTGTTAAAGTTGGCTTCTTTCTTCATTGTGGTCAGGATGAAGGAAGCAAGGTTCACATGAGTCGACAAGGAGTTGTGTTCATAATGCTTCACTTTAATTTTTTTCAAAAATGTGTTTATCTCTTCTATATCTTTCAGGGTTTCCTTTTCCTTGTACGTTTTCTGTATTTCGCTAGCTTTGTTGTGAAGGTAGAACCCGACTTTATTTGGACTCAGATCCTTTATGTCGTTGTAGAGCACATCAACCGAGTTCTTCAGCTTTATCCTCACCATCATGTTTTTTAGAACATCACTGTTGTGTTGGCTCTCTTGTTCTTTCCTCTCCCATTTGGCTTCCCCTTTGTCCTCCCCACCTGGATTACTCATCTCGTTAAATATAATATATCGAGGGACTTCTATCTGTAAGTTTGAGATGCCAAACAGATGGTCTAGTAGTCCCTCGTATGTAAAGGGGGTACAGAATGGTGTCACCATGTCGATCTTCCGATCGATGATTACACAGGAGTCAATCTTCGTGGATACATTAAGGAGGAAGTTAAAGTTGGATACCCCTAGCTTCTCCTGCAGGTAGCTTTTCTCCTTTTTGCTTCTCCTTTCCATCTTCTGTTTATCCTTTCTTTTCAATAGGAAGTTCGTATTGTCTTCCTTGGCCATGAAGTTTGGACCTGTGCTTGCTGAGCCACTCTCGTACTCTTCGTCCATCAGATATGCCTCTTCCGATGAGTCTCTTCTTTTCTTCCTCTGCAATGATTTGATTACCCTTTTGTTTTCCCCTTTGGAGGGACGGCGACGTGAGCCTCCCTTTCTTCTCCCCTCCTGGACGGCTCGATTTATCTCCCCCTCTGTATGGCCTCCACTGGGGGACATTCCTTCCTCCCTCTTTCCGCCACTTCTCCCAAAGGAGCTTGAACTTTTATTTCCATCCCTGCCACTGTTGGAGGTGTCTCTTCTTTTAATTCCCTCTCCTCTGGAGTTCCCTGACCGGTCCGAATCAGAGTCGGTATTTACCCCTTCGTTTGGCGCGGCTCCGGTTTCTACGAGTGTTCCCTGTGATGGCATCTCCCTCTTTATCGATTGTTCGTTTCGCTTTCTTGTCCATTCCACGGGTGTGTGTTCCTCTCCCTCGAGTGTCTTTTCCGCCGCTTCCTCTGGCGCCCCTTCGCTCCCTCCGGGGGGGTCTCCCTCCGCCGCATGGCCATGGTCCTGGTTATCTTGATCATCACGGTTTCCATCATTATCACTGTCCCCTTCACCGTCACTGTGATCGGCATCTTCACCGCCATCGTCACTGCGATCACCATCTTCACCACCCTGCTCAGCTTCATCTTCCTCCTCCGCGCCCCTTCCCCTTTGGGATTTATTTCCCCTATTTTTGTTCTCCCGAGGGGGCGTCTTTCCCGGAGTGGTCCTCTTCTGGTTGCCTTTATCGAGCGGCTCCCTTCTGGTGCTGGGACTCCTGCTGCTCGTCCTCCTGCGGCGTGCGCGCTCCGAGAGGAAAATTTTATGCAGAGCGTACTTCACCGGGATGACGGGTGGTTGGCCTGAATCTTGGAAATGTCTGACGTCCTGCATGTTTTGCAAATTGTTCAGGATGTCTAGGAAATCTTCGTCAAACTTATTGGACGCCTGGATGTCGAAGTTCATCGAGACAATTTCCTTCCTCAGTTGTATTAACTGCTCTACTATGAAGTGTGACAAGTGTCCCAAAGATTTGATACTTTTGAACACACCATCAAAGAGGTGTTGCAAAAACATGAGGCTGAAAGAACACATGAGGAGGCTGGTGAAATCGCTGTCTACGTAATACTCCTTGTAGAGTCCCTTTATCTCTAGGCTGAACACATCATTGTACAGTGGGAAGAAGTAAAGAGGGAAGACAATCACGCGTATGTGGATATCCAACAAGTTGTGCTTTAAGATTTCGGCCTGGCACATGGGAGTCATGTAAGGAATGAACACGAGGGCATACTTTCTACCACCCCCAGGGGGTTCCCCTCCAAGCTTTCCCCCTCCGCCTTGGCCTCCTCCTAATTTGCCGCTTTCACTTTTTGCAATCCTTTCAATTAGTTTGAAGACATTTTCGATTTCATAAAAGTGGGGGCGGAGAAAGAATAGGATATTGGAAACATTGTACAGTTTGCTCACGTTAACTTCTGTTTCGTTTTCCAGGAGAAATACATGCTCTATGCGTTCTTTGTTAATGTCATCGTCGTTTAGGACCACGTTGAGGAGGATATGCAGAGACCTCTCGAAAAAAAGGCACTTGTCCCCTTTGAACCGTCTGAAGATGTTAAGCAGCTGAGTCCGTCCCTGCTGCCTCAGCGCATCCGTCACGTTCATCGTTTAGCGCTAGGTGCCCAACCAACGTCGTGGTGGGGGACCTGCTCCTTTCGCCTCACCTCTCTACAAAAGGGGTAGTCCCTTGCTCTTTCTCATTTAATCGAGGAGGGGTCCCTCCACGCGCCGCGCCCGGATGGAAGTGATAAAGCGGTACAATCGCAGACGGGAGTGATAAAGCGGAAGACTGACGGACGGGAGTAATAAAGCGGCACAATCGCAGACCGAAGTTATTATAACCGCTGTTTTCCCCGCTTTAGCACTTCAAACAGGAAGGAGCCAGTAAAATCCTGTTCGATTAGCAACCCGCCAAGAGGAGCCAAACGCTATCTCCTACGCCTATGGAGAAATTTTCCTAGTCTGCTCAAGTGAAAAAAAAAAAAAAAAAAAATCTACCAGCTCAGGATGCCCATAAATAATTTTCTGTAAAAATTATTCTACCCTGGAAAACCTACCTTGAACGGAAAATCGTCGCAATTTTTGGGAGGCGAAACCTGCATCCGACCTATGTTGGCAATGCGTCGGTTTATGCGGCGAGATAATGTTTCCTCATTTTACTCCCTGCCTGGTGATAATCCCCCATAAGGCTTTCTTTCTTTTTGGTAAACCTCTCTGCACCGTGGTAGGTTTAACTGTTTTCCATTCTTTACGTCTCTCCGGAGCCGTAAGGCGAACAACTAGGAGAGCGTTTCACAATAATGAATAAGAGTAGGCGTAATGATTTTTTTTGTTTTTTCTTTTTTTTTTTCTTGCATGGTTGTTAACCTGTGTACAGCACACGAGCGCTACTTCCCGCACTTGCATGGCATAGTTTTACCTCTCCGGCCCACAAATGCACAATGCAGTCCATTAAGGAGGGCTACGCCTTTTTCATTCTCTACCTATCCCACATCCTTTGGGGTTGGTGAAATTGAACCAGTGTGTACTGGGCAAGGGTGCGCGGAGGAGACCCTTCCGCGTGACACCTATGCGTATGCCTATATATAAACACATTTGCATACGCATGTGACAGGTACCCTATTTCAGCTTTCCCCGCAGATGCACTGCGTTTCACCCCGGTTACCACCCCAATTTACACTTACAGCTTCGTACTTAGTCTGGGCTTTCGTATTCGATGACTTCTTGAACGTCTTGTCCTTCCCGTTCCCTTCCAAGTATGGTTCTCTTTTCCCGCAGAAGGCGAAGCGCCCCAAAGGGGCTTTTTTATGAGGGTATACGTGTGCCCGTTTTGAGCTTTTTTCTAGGCTGTTCTTCACTTTTGTTTTTTATTTTTCTTATTTTGCCTCTTCTCTTCCTACCGTAGGTACTGGGCGGCCATCATCCCGTGTGCTATCATCTTCACCTCCTTCTACTTCATTTTGTTCACCATTATTTACTCATTCGTGAAAACGGAGCCACCGACCTCGATGCACCTTCTAGAAGGTTACATGGGAGTGCGCAGAAATGGGGGTTAATGTGTGAAACTTCCCCCAGTATGGATGGCTGTTTTTCCGACAGTTTGTATATGTGTCTCATCGCCTTCATCCCTTTTTTGCACAGATGACCACTCCGTTTTCGAGGACCAAATGACAGAAAGTTCCCTAAATCGGATGAATGACTTAAGGATTGAACAGCTGAACAAACTGTTGTACGATACGTCCCTTTACTTTGAGTAGACCACTGAGAAGAAGTGATCCCACAAATTGGGGGATCCTTTTTTGTTGTTCCTAAGGACATTTGTCTGTTTGGGATTGAAAAACGGGGGAAATGTGTGCAGGGTAACTTGAAGCAGGAGCACACAAAACCTACTCACATGCGAGGCATGTTCCTCACCAACTTTATGGAACACTATTTAGTGAATAGCTCTATTTAGCGGCTTTTCCGTTTTGCTATTCCTTTTTTTTAACTTATATTTTTTTCTTCTTTTTTCCCTTAAGTGGCATCATTAAAGGATAGCATTCTCTTTTGCTTCAATTGTTTCCCCCCATTCGACGAGCAGACGCTGGCGTCACTTCGAAAGGGTACATTGTGGAAACTTCACATTGTAGGACATCGACCCATGTTTAATTATATGATACATCCACATCAGTTAAATCGAGTTTGCCCGTTTTGACCACACGTTCTGTATTTCATGGAAAGGAAGGAAGCACTTATCATTCCGTTCTTTTTTTTTTTTTGTCTTATCTTTCCCAGTTGACTTTCTATAGTGGCGGTGAATAGCACCCCAGGTGAGAGGTTCATATATGGATGAGCAGAAAGGGGCGCAAAATAGAATGAAAAAAAAAAAAAAAAAAAACCGAACTAGCCAAAACGTCTCGTGTTCGTACATTTTCGCACACATCTTTTTATAACGTTGGTGAGGAGGTGTATTTGAGCTTACAATTGTTGGCCTTAAATGTGTGTGCAAATTTGTCTTCATCAGTATGGCGACAACTTTAGCTATCTATGTAGCTAGCTTTTTTTTTATTCTTTTTTTTTTTTTTACAACTGTTCATAATTTTGTTCATCTATACAAATATGTTCATATTTTTTTTTTAATCGATAGGGGAATTTGCCGCTATTAAAAAATACGGCGCGGTTAGGCGATACTTGGCAACGCTTTTCGCAAGCGCTTACATATGTGAAATAAGCACAATTATGTGCGAAGGACACCCAAGGAACATAAACATTTGGGGATATTCGCTTTGGCCTTTTTTGTTTCTTTTGCCTACACTTATATGGATGATGCAGGAGACGTTTCTGTGGGGAATTTCTCTTCCTGCGGCCTTTCACTGCTGGGGTGCAAAAGCAGAGGCGCCACGTGGGTGCCATGTTGCGTGGTCACTCTCATGTGGAAATTATTTTTTTTTTTTTAACTCATTCCGCCTAAAAATTGAATTAATATTTTTGGGGAGGAGGTAATGCCTGCACCAGCATCTTGTATTCTGCACCCTTGCACCTCTTCGCTGTTTAGCAATTTGTGTGCCGCGTTTATTCGCATTTGTTCACCTTAATAAGATTCGTTCTACCGTTATTGAGGTTTTCCTATCTGTCCGTGAAGACGCATATCATTTGGGGGGGACCTGTCCAATTACGAGAACAGTGGTTTATATCTACGTACGTGGCGCATTCATACAAGTGGGGTTTTGACAATCCCCCCGACCCCCCGCAAAAAGAAATGTGCGTACACATGGTTATGTGGTTAATCAGACAGTGTTCTGACGGTTTGGGCGCTTCATGCTCACAGCGTTAACACGAATGCACGAGTGTGTAAGGAGGCCACTTACAACTGCACATTGTGTCATTCTTCGCTGCTAGAGGGAAGATGCCTGTGGCAATGAAACGTGTCGCGGGGTGGGCTGCACGTTTACAACGAAGAGAAGCAAAAATAATTGAGGTGGCTTATGGAGAGGGAGAAAACGCATGCATGGCTTCCGCTGCGATTTTTTGGAGATCCGGTCACTCGGTTCGCCGCGGTGTGCATGTGCGTACGTATGTACATGGGTATGCATGGTTACGTCTGCACCGGTGCGGTGGTCTGTATTTGCGCTTACGTCTATGCGGGCCCTGCACTCGCGCCAGGGAAGCTTGCAGAATCAGCCTTACGAGTACGCGCAAGTGCACAGGTATAGGCAGAGGTGCACATGCTTAGATGCAAAGGTGAACATATATACGCCTACAAACAGCGTTGAAGCGAATTTTTCCAAGTGGAAAAAAAAGAAACAAAAATTGCACCAGATATCTAAGCAATGTGTGATCAATTTTGTCGTATATATTTTAGTATTGTTTTAAAAAATCTCGACATAGAAGATGGAAATGCAGGGTGAAGAAGGGCCCCGGACCCTGCCAAATGACCCCCTTTTTCACAGTTAAATGAAAACATATAGCTATGTAATGTAACTATGGGGGTAAGAAAAAAAAAAATATAGAAAGAGCCCTTTAGGCCATCGCCGCAAAAAGTACCCAATGATACAATTATGCAGAAAAAAAAAAACAAAATTTACAAAATGGTGAAGCGTAATAAAGGGTGAGGAAGAGGTACACAAATTGTCACCTCAGTGATAGCAGTAAGATGAAGCAAGTGGGAAAGTTGGGGACATGTACAGCTGCACGAATTGCATGTTATTTCCCGGAACTCCGAGAGATGGAAGGCCAAAAGGAAAAGTACAATGATTAGCAGAAGTCGTGAAGGGAGTGAGCACTGCGAAATTAAGAAAATTACCTTCTCTTTTTAAACCTTTCGGCAGTGACCTTTAAATGGCACCACACCGGTGTCGTTGCTTTGAATAAGAGGAAGAAATAGTGTTGTCTTTTTTTTTCTTTTTTCAAGATGAAGTGGACAGAATGGGGAAGAAAACTCCGTTGATGATTGCCATTCAGTCTAAGCTGCAGTCGCGGGGATATTAGCGTGGAGAGTAGTGGGACTGGAGGATGTCCTCCCCACAAAGGGGTGCTAAGTATACGGTGCGTGAACGAACGAAGAGGCAAACAGTTAAAGTTACGTGTCTAGCGAAGCATGACCAGTCGGATCACACCGCAAGATAAGATGCCTGAGCTCGCTTTGTCGCCTCGCGCAAGTACTCACTTGTACACATATGCACTCACGTGGGAACGCACAAGTTTGCCTTGTAAAATTTGAAGGCGCAATGCACTGTATGCAACACAGACAAGAAGGAGAGTGTCATCCCTCCCTTTTTTTTTTTTTAATCCGTTAGTACACGAAAGAGCTGAAGTGATAAGTTAGATTGACAAACCATGTGGTTCATTAAAATGGCACATGTATACGTATGTAACAAACCTGCACATTGTGCACATGTACCATAGAACTTAAAGTACAATAAAAAAAAAAAAAAAAATAAGAGGTCAGGGTAAAAAAAAAATTCCAGCATGATTAGCAGAATTTCTCTGGTCAATGTGAAGTAGTAATTGGACCTCCCCCCCCAGGTATATGTTCGTCACTGAATTGGGTCAACGAAGGGAGGGGTACAGCTGAGTTGGCGTTACACGGTGCAGCGCAGCCGGGTAGGCATAGTTATACCAAATTGTGGAGGGGGAGGGGGGAACTCTATTCGTCTCTCCGGGTGGAGCGGTAAGCGGTTCAGCAGTTAAGCGGACGCACATACAAGGTAACAAATGAACAAACGAACAAAAGAGCCGACTCGCTCGTGCCCCCCTTGCAAGCACTTTAATCATCATCACCCCAAGGAGAGGAAAATGTAGCCAAAAGAGAAAAAAAAACTAATTGATATATGTATTTCCCCCTTTGTGAGTCAAGTAAGTGAAGTGATGGAATGCGTAGTACTAGTATGTGATGAAGGGAGCGGGACAGACGTAGCGAGTTGTGTGTACGCACCAGCACGTGCATGTAAGCGTGTGAATTAGTATGCATACCTTAATGCGCATACTTCCAAGTGAACGCAACTAACGTAGGTGGTTACGCGTACAAATACGGAGGAGAAATGTGCGTTTGCGAGCGTGGCTTTTGCTGTTTGAAACCACAGAGCCAATGCTTCAGAGAAGGAGAGCTTTACGTCCTGGTCAAGGGGGAAGAGTCAGCTGGCCCGCTGAACAAGGTTACGTAGTGCATTACGTGCCCGTTAATTGTCTCACATGCATGCAGGCAAGAAAAAAATAAAAGTAAGCACCATGTGTAAGCGTTATATTTAAGCATCACATATAAGCATGATATATGAGCATCATATATATATATCTATATTTTCTTTCTGTACTGCACCCACGCGTATACGTCTGTGCATACGGGCGGGGCAAGGAGATATGGCTAGTTACAGAATTTACCTGTGGACTTCCTTGATTAGAATTTGTTTGTATGTTCATCAGAATGGGGGCAAATGAGTAAAAGGAGACGTGAGTTTTTTTTTCTTTTTTTTTTTTTGTTTACATATCTACTAGCTAGAAAATGATGTGTAACCCGAAGGAATGAACAAAGGTTTCGTGTTTACACGGGGGCCGTAGCAAAGCCCAGGAGGACGAGTGGAAGAGAGTGTGTACGTGCATGTAAATATATATTCATATGCTTTATACATGGGGATGTACGGCTTTTCCCTCCAAACCCTAAACATGGTGATCTCTCGATTTTTTCTTTTTTTTTTATTAGTCGTTTACGTGAAAATGTTAACGGCAGTGTGCGCACTTGTGTAAGCTTAAGTGTGTACATGTTGTTACTCCGTTCATGAGCCCTCTATCTGGCGAGCGTGCATATATAACACACTTGTTAAACAATTCCGCTGGAGGCAAGATTTTTCTTTTTGTTTAACCATTTAAAACAACTATTAACTGTTTCTCTGTTTATGTGAAGCTTTCTCCATTTTGATCTGACCATATCTGCCTCCGTGTTGGCTAATACAACCGGAGCTTAAACTATTTCTTTTTTGTTTTTTTTGTCACATGCATTTTAGAAAAAAAAAAAAAAAAAGAAAAAAGAAAAAAAGAAAAAAAAAGAGCAAGATAAAGCTTCATAGTATGGGTAGCTAGCTTAATTTAAGAAAAAAAAAAAAGAAAGAAGATTTTTTCCAAAAAGGCTTTGTTCTTGAAGCATAGAATTAAAGAAAGTAATTTTTTTTGTGCATAGCTTTTTTTGTTTTGGCAAATTTAGTGGAGGGGAGCGGGGATGGCCCCTGTCTTGTTGGAGACAAGTAAAAGGGGAGTACCGTCAACGTGAGGATGTGCTGGGTGCACGTGTAAATGTATACAAGGGGGGTGCATATGCATGTGTATCAGCGTGTGCGTGTGTGTAAACGCGTGGTTGTAGACAGAAGCGAGGGAGCATCCGAGGAGTAGAGGAGAGTGCCCCCCACTCAGGAATCCACAAGCCCGGCATGGAAAAGAGGGAGGGAAGGGAGCCCAACCAACTAGTGGAGCCCAAGGATCCAAGAAGAAAAAATGCCGTGGAAGTAAAGGCGGAAAGCTCCAAGAAGCCATGGTACTTACACGTGGAAAAAACCAAACTAACCTATTTTTTCGATTTAATCGAGGAGGACCTATCTTGTGGGTTTAAAAGAAAAATTAGCTTGGCCACTCTGGGCAGTGCAGACGGGTCTTCTGTCGAGGTGCACGACAATGCGTTTAAGAGGGTCGCGGTCAAGACGGAGCAGCCAAGGGACGGTGAAGTGGGTGCCGAGGTGGGTACCGACGTGGCTATCGAAGTTGCTACCGAAGTGGCTGTCGAAGTGGCTACCGAAGTGGGTGCCGAAATGGGTGTCGAAGTAGGTGTCGAAATGGGTGTCGAAATTTGCACCGAGTCGGAAGAGAAAAATGAAGAGGGGAAGGAAGACTACCCCGAGAGATTGTTCCACGTGAGGGTGAGGGACGAGCACGAGCAGAGCGCCACGATCAGCGATGACCACTCATTTGAGGAGCAAGTCGAGGACGACTTGAGAAGAGAGATAACTACAAGCGCTGTACAAAGCTGCTCCGACGAGATCGAACTCTCCAATTATGTGTATCGAAAAGAACGATCCAGACTAGCCATGCGCTGCACGCATGATAAAAAGAGTTACAACTTATTGCTCTACCTGAATACGTTCTTGAGGGAGCTGACTTGGAGCAAGAAGGATCAAATCAATGGTTTGTTAAAAGCATTTAACCAGAAAAGATTTAATAATAACAACAACAAAGGCATGCGAAACAATTTTAAGGCAGACTTGTACAGGGTGGTGATACATGCCGGGGGTATCCTTTCCTTCAAATTGCTAAAAAGTAACAACGAAATTGGGAAAGAAACTTACTATATGAATGAGGAGCTACTGCACTTAGAAATTCATAATATCCTAGGGAACAACTACCCCATCAAGCAAATTTTTTACATGAATCAGCAGGTCCGTGATTTCCAGAGAGTGGTTATGCCTCAAGAACTGCAAAGTGATAAACCCATTACATGTGGTATCCTTCTCGATTTTGATTACATGGGTCGTTCGTTCGAAATGAATGAACAGAGGCCGATGAAGCTGGTGGACTTGTTGGTGATGCTGGATAAGATTTGCGAGCTCCTTCGCGAGAACTGCACCGTGATTTATGTGCACCTCGCGGAGCCAAACTATGCGGGTACGATAAGGGAGCTGATTCTCCCGCAGCCGCAACGCGCTGCCAAGAACACGAACGGCGCACACCGGGGGCACGCATGCAGGCACAAGAAGGCATACAGCTACCTGTTCGGCGACCTGGAGAGTACGATCAAGTTGTTTGAGGAGCGAAACATAAAGGTGGTGATTAGGACGAGCGATTCGACGGAGGAGGCGGAGTCGACCAATGGGGCGAAAGGGGCAGCACCGGCAGATAAATCGCTTTCGCCTCTTTCGTCCCATTCGACGTGTCTGTCACACTCGTCGGAGCCTTCGGCTATACCTCATGTGTCGCTCAAGAAAAAGAAAAACACAATCGTGAAGGACATCGCGAAATTATTTGAAAACCCCTACGTCGACAACATTATTCTCCTGTGCAATGACGTAGATGTGATATCTTATTGTTACCATGTTCGCCACAAGATGAAATACAAAAATGGAGAAGCACGCATGAAGGGAGAATACACTTTTCGATTCATGAAACCAGTTTTGATTTTCTCCTTCTTAAATAATCTGCCGATTAGAAATGGAAAAATATATCCTCACCTCATGCTGGACAGATTCTGCTACATGACTTTTATCATTACTACTTATCTTTTAAGGTGCCAAGCGAGAAAAATCGAGAAGGTGGCCGCAGAAAGTGATTTCAATGTGGACCCAGTGGAGGAGCTAATTAGGAAGTATAACTTTGAGAATAGCAAACTGAAGAAGACCATGAACATGTTACTTCTTGATGATTTATTGTACAAGGTGAATGCGAAGGTGAATAAGAAGACGAATAAGAAGATAGATAAAAAGACGAATGCGAAATCGAAGACAAATGCGAAATCGAAGACGAATGCCAAATCAAAGACGACTGCCAAATCAAAGACGACTGCCAAATCAAAGACGACTGCGAAGAAGAATGGAAAGACGAAGAGGAAGACAAATATGAAGTCAAAGACGAATGCAAAAACGAAGATGAGTGCGAAGACAACGATGAAGGGAAAGACAAAGAAGAATGCCAAAACAAAGATGAAGGCAAAGATGAACAATTCGAAAACAAAGATGAAGGCGAAGAGAAAGAAGAAGGCGGATGCGGAGGTCTCCGTTTCGGACTTGCTGCGCAGGAGCTTTTCTTCGGTCTACTACCCCATGCACTACTACTTGGAGGAATCCTGACGGGGGGTAGTCGAGGGGCCTTTTCTCGTGAGCATTTTCTTTAAATCGTTGACCGATCAGTCCGCTGCATGTGTAGTCCTATGCGTGTGTTCTCCCCTGCGTGCGCCCCTCGTTGTATGCTTGCTTCCCTCCGTGTGCCCATCCCCGTGGTGTTTCTGTTCCCCCCCCACACACCTCCGTCGCGCTTGATGTGCGCATTCCACCCCCACTTTCCTCGCGCTTGAGGTGCGCATTCCACCCCCCTTTCCTTGCGCTTGATGTGCGCATTCCACCCTCATTTTCCTCGCGCTTGATGTGCGCCTACTATCCCCATTTCCTTCGCGCTTGATGTGCGCATTCCATCCCCACAGCCGCGATGTAGGGCCACCAGATGATTCTTTCCACCATTTGTCCCAATCTGTGCAGGCACACGAAGCTGATTTTCATCCCCCCCGTAGAACATATAAACAGAATGGTGGTTGCTAGTTGTTGCGCCAGTTTGTGCATACCTACAACCCTTGTTTTTTGTTTTTTTTTTTTTTTACATGCGCTGGAAAAGGGGAAAGCTTCGTGGGACTCTTTTGCCAGTTTCCCCCAGCGCACGAGTGATTCTGTTTTTTGTTTACAAGTAACGTTTCATTCTGTCAGGGGAAAGGGAAAAAAGGGACAGTCTCTTGCACGCGGGGTTTACCTATATATATATACATGCATTTTTTTTTTTTCCCTATCGTATTTTTTTTTTTCATCCTCTGTGCGTTGCAGTCTGCATGATTCGCGCTGCATTTTTCATTTATTTATTTCTGTTTTTTTTTGTGATTTTGACGTGTAATCAGTAAAACCGGACTTGGGCGTAATGGATAGAGTGGTTGGCAGGCGCGCGGTAGTCGCTACGATTGGTGGCCGCTTCGATTGGCGGTCCCCCGAGTGGCGACTACCGCGCTCTGCGGCCCCTTTCCAGACAGCTTTCGTAAAAAAAGACCAAGTGGCACCTGAAGGGGAAGTCCTGGGGACGCGATCACACCGCCCCTGCGGGTGCGACGAGAAAGGGGAGCTGCGAGGGCTCAGCATGGTAGGCCAATCGTTCCACATGATGGAAAGCGATAGCAGTTATGGTAGCAGCGACGGTAGTAATGGTGGAAGTTGCGGAGGCTTCCTTGTACAGGAACACTAACTCGAATGCGGACATCACGCAAACGTGCACACATGCATACAGATCTGTCGACACAGAAGAGAAAAAAAAAAGGAAAAAACAGTAAAATTTCTGTGCCATACAAACTGCAAAAACTACATGTATAAATGAAAAAAGGAATTATTAATTTTTTTTTTTGGGGCGGGGTGCTCCGTTTTGGAGATCTTAGATAAAGTTACTAATTGAAACGGAAAAAAGAAAAAGAAAAAAAATTGCACCTAGCACCGTTTTGTTAAGAGGAATCCTTATGCAGATATAAAAATGTAGGCATGCATTGGCATACTGATGTACCTGTGAATGCATGAGTAGACACAGAAGCATGTAGATAGGGAAAAAAACAAAAAAAATATATATATATATATTCGTTGGGGGTAAAATTAGAAAATATGACAACAGAATTAAATAATATGAATCGTGTAAAATAGGTCACTCGGTGCATTAACATGTCAAAGGTGGGAAATTTTTTTTCGCGATCAAAATGGTTTGTGAGGGCGCATAGGGTGGCAAAGAATTACGCGACGAGCTGCACGTGTATGCATACGTGGCGAAGTATGTACTTCACTGTGTCTGTGCATGCATGCGTTTGTTAATTTATATATCCGCGCATCCATGTGTTTACTTTAAGCAACAAATCAAGCGGGGCTCCCCGAGGTCGCTGCGTGCACAGCGTTTAATGTTAAAGGCACTGCTGTTTTGTATTCGGAGGCTCCAGCCTTTCTAGGGATCGCCATTTGGGCATTTCATGGTATGGAAGGGGTTGAGAGGCCAATTCACTAACCTCCACCCTAGGCAACGTTTATAGGATACTCTTCGATAAAATAAAATAAAAAAGAAGCATTATTTATAAATGTGCTGATATATATCTGTGTATAGAAGCGCATGTATAAAGGGGCAAAAAAAAAAAAAAAAAAAATTAAACCGTGTAAGAGTTACAAAAGATCCGTGTAATGAATTAGGAATGCATGCATGTGCACAGAAGCGATGCAGAACTGGTAATTTGAAAGAGTCTACTTGGGGGAACTGAAACAATCAGGGTGAGAGCATCAGGTCGAATTCAAGCTAAGTCCTAGCGCAGAATTGTGGCTGTAAAAAGGAGTGAGAGAGACAAAAGTTTGAGGAATTTTACCTGCACTCGATAAGACACTCCTCCCAAGGAAAGCAATACATGGAGAAAGGTAAAAGTATGTCCCTGCGCATTTGGTTAGCCATTTTGTTGACTCTTCCATTTCCCAATAAGACAGGTATCCGCAGAATTTAAAGCAGTGAATCGGTTAGCGTTGCCTATCCATTTTCGGCCACGATCCGTAGGGTGCTTTGGATTCTAAGTCAAGTAAAAGGAGCGTGATCCAGTGAAAAAAGAAAAAAACGCAACAACATTGCAGAGGTTCCCCTAAATATGCATTGTGAATGGGGTGCATATAAACTTTATCGAGAGTTACTTATGCAGTGCAAAGGAATGTCCCTATCGGTGCAATTACACCCCGGGGTAATTAAGCCCTCGAATAAGCCCTCGGAGGCAGAATTAATGCACGGGCATATAAATGTGCATATGCAGGTGCATCCGAGCGTGTGTACGTGGATTTGGTCACATGGGTGTTCGTCCTCGTTGACACGGCCGGAGGCACTCTGCCTTTCCGAAGGGGGCATTGAATCCCCCACGAGAAGTGGAAACTGTACAGGAAAAAAAAAAGAAATAGATAAAAATAAAACTATGAAAAGGACAATGAAATGTAAAAAAAAGAAAAAGAAGAACAAATTTGTGAAAAGAAAAAAAGTGCATTTTTACCTTTTTGCCATTTTTAACGTATTATTTATTTTATTTTTTTTTTTTTTTTCACTTTTTCCATCTTTACACTGGCTCCTGCATTTTTCGAGAATTGGAACTAATTACAAGAGTTGCATAGAATGTACGTGAAACCGTATCACCGCTGATGCTATCAATGTGTATCGTTTAAAGGGATTTCTTTTTTTTTTTTTCTCCACAAGTAGACGAACAAAGAAGGAACTTTATCGCACATGCTTAACACACGAAAAAATGACCAAGAAATCCGCTATTGGTCCACCACAAAACTAATGATGATTAAACAGCAGGCACGATTAAGTACCGTGGAATCATATAGTCGGGTTGGCGCAGGCACCAAAATGGAATGCCCATATTCTATAAAGCAACACTTCTAGGCACACTCGAGTGCACTTTTAGATTCTTATCTTTTTTATTATATGCACCGAAGAAAGAAATGAAAAAAAAACAGAATTATCATTTGAACTATGGTATGTTCCCCTTAAGGGTACACTGCACGCAGAATCGGAAAAATAAACTAAACAAGGAATGCTCACTATTTTCTAAAAGGGGCTTCCATGTCTTGGAATAAATCTAGAAAAACGGGGAATGTCTTAAGCATTCGATGTATTAATATAAGATGAAATGTGTTACCTAAATTATTTGTAAAAAGAATAAAAAAAAAATAATTCTGATAAAGAGCACCTGGGATCGCCATGCTAAGGAACGCCTTTGTGCGTTCCGTTGAACGGTGCAGTGTATCCTTTTTTACACACCATGAGGGCTAGTCACCTTGTGAGTGTTCTTTTTTTTGTTGTTTTTTTTCGTTTCCGCCTTATTCGTACAGGAGCTAGTTTGATTGAGCTATTTTTTTTTTCCCTATAGGGAAATTATGCCCCCCCATCTCCTATACACATAAATACCTCGGTGCACAAAGTGGAAAGAGGTGCCTTCTTGTCGACAATTAGTAAAGCGTTCACCGAAGGGGTACATTTCTTTAGAGTCATTAAATGAGTGTATTAACTTATTTCGTATTTCTTAAAATACATTTTCTGAATAAGATACCGAATGCACAGTATTATACCGATTTTGCTATTTTTTCCTAATGGGGTCGTGATAATTTCTTTTTTTTTTTATTTGGTCCATTAACTTTGGTATTGCCATAGGGGTAAACGAGTGCTTTACGTGAGGTCATGAGTTAGGGCGAGGGAAGGGGTGCAATATGGCATGAAGTGTGGCTTAATGGGGCAGCCTGCACTTGGAAAATTTGAACTGGGTCAAGTTTTCCCGTTTGTACTCGTGTTAGCATTGCTACAATACATACGATTGCTACTTTTGTTAGTATCGTTAGTATAGTTAGTGTCGTTACTGTTGTTATTGTTTTATCGCTATCACTTCTCGGGGCGCCTTTATTTGTAAGACAGGTCGTTCCCCATTTCGGTAGTTGCTCAATTTGGTGATTCCTCAATTGTTCACTTTGCTTGACTTCCTCAGCTTATGGGATTCTTTTCTTAAAATGCCGAAGGAACCGAGCATGCTAAAGGAGTCCTCCTAGAACGGAAAAGCTGCGCAATGTGCATAAAGGAATGCAAATGGTATGGCAGAAGGGAAAATCGAATGAGATTATGAAGTGCATAGATATTTCTTCTGAAACCATTATTTGATGAAACTTTATCTGATCATATGGTTATTCTAATATGTAAATTCCCATTTAGGACGGTCCCTTCCCAGTATGCATAAAAAGCTCCTTTTGTATCTTCTGATACTCTTCCGAACAGTTGGTTCTATTTTTTTTACTATAATCATCGTGATGGAGAAGGAAACTCTAAAGAAATGAAAGAAAGTTACTCTGGCAGATGGTATTATTAACAGTTTGTGCTTTCCATTTGATTACGAATTGTTGCTTCACTGAAATGGCAAATTATTTCTTTTTTATAAAGAGGGGATTAACATGATCATTTCGATTTATCCATGTCGTGTTTGTTTTCTTTCTTCTCGGTAGGGAAAAATGTTAAGAGTAAGGTTTTCCTCTTCCTTTCCTCAGGATGGTGTATTCAGACGGTGTGCCCATCTTTTCAGGGGGTGAACATAGATTTGTGTCTACTGCACCTTATGAAGCAAAACGGGGCAAAGGAGGTGCAATACTTATTTTTACTTACCCACGTGAGTATCTTGAGTCATTACGGGAGGCTTCCCATATTTTGGTAGGTCTGAATCGGCTGCCTCAACGTTTTGCAGAACCGTGCAGAGGTGTTTATTCCCACCTACCCAAGTTCTCCTTCCTGTGTGGCGCTTTCAATCGATGCGATGTAAATGCCCCCAAGGTATTCACCACTGTTGTCACACTCTCATGATGACAACAATCAACAATGGATCGTATTTTTCTACATCCATTTTGTTATCTGCTCATTGGGGCCATTCCAGAGATTGCCAGAATAGGCGCCTTTGGCGAGAAGCATGAGCGCGTGTGAGAAGTGCTCCGGTTGATAGTGGCTTAGCTCACCGTACGCATGGAACTATGCAGGTGTTGAGAAGGACGCAGAGAGGAAGCCGTCCCTCTGGAAGGGTGCACATGCAGATTTGATATGTTATGCGAGGTGTCCATTCTGTGTATGCCTCACGACGCACTAGTGCGAGGCGCTCTTTTGGATGCATGAGCAGGGGGTGCATGCGTAGGGGAACCTAGACCAAGGTGCATGGGCACATACGCACCTTGAAAAAAAGATTCGCAGCAACTTCGTAACGAATGCCCATTGGAGAAGATGCCAAGATGTGTATCATACATTTCGGCGGAATGGAGCGTTTCTTCTTATGAATAAAAATACACAGTTGTTTGTGCTCCGCTTAGTAGATTTATGCTCACGTGAGAATCATGCTGATGGTGTGCTTCTGCGTTGCTATCTTTATAAACTATATCCGCAGAGAAATCTTCGTTATGGACAAATGGGTCATCCACGCACCCCCAAGGCAGCCGAATTTGCACGCACAAGTGTACACGCATGTGCGTATTAATTTACGCATATATACACATGCGTGCTCTCCCTGTTACTTCTTTGGTAAACACCTAGCTGAAAGGCACTCACACATGGGCCTCACGTGTCACATACGTTCTGCACTTTTCATTCGTGGCATTCCTGCACCATTGTCAAATTATACCCCCAGATGGATGTACAAAAAAAAAAAAAATAAAATAAATAAGGTTCATATGTGAGATAGAACGAACGAATTGTGCCGAAAAAAGAGGAATACATCCGAAGAATGCCAAAATAGCCAATGGATCCATTTGCACGAGGAGGAAAGTCAAAATTGATAGCCTTATTCAAATAGGAGAAAAAAAAAAAAATCCATCAAAATTGGGCGAAATGGTAATGGATGGATTAATAACTACAGTTGAATTTATGCATGCCTCAAAAGGCTGGTGTGTAATCTGTGCACATATTTATTTTTCTGGGAACATGTGGGGTCTGGCAACGAGGTGTTGTAACCATGGTATAGAGCAAGGGGCCTTTTAGTTGGTGGCACGCCCTAGGTACACACATGAGAGAATACACGCCTGCCTACGTTTGATATGCGACTGGGTTAACACCTACATTGACTGGTCTAGTTTGGCGGGCAGGTGGACGTGGAAGAACGAGAGGAGTTGATAGCTACGGGCTTTATTTTTTCCTGTAAAGACGAGTAATTGGGTGTGTTTAAGCGCTTTGGGCAACTCTATCCACTTAGCACGTGCGATATGCTTTTCTATATATAGAAGAACGAATCACTTCTTTATCCGCGCCGTGGCAATAGGAGCAGTCTGCTTAGCGTCCCGGCTGCCCCATAGAACAGCCACTTTGGCGTGAGTTCCTCATTTTCACGTCCGCAGCTTACTCCCACCTCCTTTTTTAACAGCATCCATTTTAAGTTCCTCTTTTAAGATTTACTCTAATTAGCACCTCCCCGGTGGCATACCGCTTTGGCGCTTACTCTGCAGTTGGAGTGTTGCCCACCCTGCGTGGGCACGTTCACATAAGCTGTCCGTCCGAGGGGTCATCAAAATCGTGCATTCCGTCGTTTTCTTTAACTTGCGAATTTGTAGAGGGCTGAAGATGGCTGCACACAGAGGGCAAGGTTAGCAACCAGAAGTGACACGATTGAACGAATAACTGCGTATGTACGTACGTGTCTCTGTGTGTACATTTCGCGGTGAAGGCGTGTTGTTCCTCAATTGATCCGCCCCTGCGGCTCATTTGGATCACTCCCATCCAACGTAGAGTTTTCTCTTTCACTGTTAAAAGGAAAATGATGAACAGAGGGAACCTGGTGAATCAGCTAACTTTTCACGTGCAAGGGCCCCCGTTGCAAATGAAAAAGATCGTATCCCGCGGACGGCTGTTCGGAAAAATATAATTTGACTTTAACGCAAGAGTGGTACAAATTTAAGCTAATTTTTACCAAGTGGAAAGGAGAAAGAGTGAGAAAAAAAAAAAGAAAAAAAAAACACTTTCAGCGGTGTGTGCCTTTTTGCCCACTTTTGTTAATCCTTAAATCTGATTAGAGCAGAAAATAAATTCCTTTGACCATGAGTATGTATATTTATAAAATGCGGTACCCAAAACTGAATGCCCCGATCAATCATTTTGCAACTGAACATGTGTGTCGCGAAAGGATTAATGAATTTGAAGTCGTTGAAGTTGTGATGAATAGGGTGTACTATATACCTATATTTTATAAATGCACTTGTGCGTGTGTGCGGGAGAGCGTTCAGTGGGCTTTTCCATAGTGGCTCAGTGCGGCGCTCTAAATCTGTGATAATTTGTATTGCACACCAGGGCATATTTTTCCGACTTTGTTTTTCGCACTGTTGTGTGGTGCCGATTTTCTCTTCCTCATACAATCCCCCTCGGTGATCTTTAGCCATGTTGGTATTTCTGGTAAACTCGCACACTTTTTGGCAAATTGTGGAATGAAAAGGAAGAAATTAAAAAAAAAAGAAAGAAATATATATTTACTTTTCATTAGCGAAGGGAGGGGCACAAGTATGTACCCGCATGTAAGGGAGGATGGAAGAACGGGTTGAGAACAAACCACACCGGTGAAGTGTTCGTTCAGGTGCATCGCATTTTTTTTTTTTGGCTTATACTTTTTGGAAGAATTTGCTTTTCACTCGCCAGCCGCCGATGCGAGAAGACGTGCTTTGGGTGAGTATAAGGGCCCCCCAAGTGAAGGTCACACGTGTGTCTATCCACACAGAGGGCAAAAAAGCCACAGGTAAACATCTTAGTGGGGAGGATAATCCAAAATGGGTAAAGACAAACGCGATAAGTTTCAAGGGGTGTGGAAATGTCTGTGTAAGGTTTTTCCTTCTATTGTGTTTTTTCGTCAAGGTGAGTGCTGTGTGTGTGTAACATTGGGGGGAGGATTAGAACCATGTCTAAGCGGCGCTTGGGTGGGCCCCTGATGTTTAAGATGAGCATGTCGGAGGGCTGCTTGGGGTGATCCCTAAGATTTATGCTGAGCATGGAGGGGTTCGCTTCTCAGTGTGGCTTCTTCCCCTAACACCACTCTTTTATTTGTTGCCCCCTTTCTTAGGTACCCCCGCATGCTGTGAAACAGCGCAGAGTGCTAACAACGCTTAACGAACCAAAGTGGAAGAACTGGAACATAAGCACAGAGGATTTAGAAGAAAACGTCCAAAAATTAACGGAGCAGGTAGGATATAACGACACCTTAGAAGACGATGAAGAAGCTATTGTTTCCAGGGAGCTAATCAACAGGAACATTGGAGCCTTTCTAGGGATCAACAAAAAAGGCATCCGAAAATGGTACAAACAATGCCTCAGTGAGAAGACTAGATATTGGGAAATGAAAATCAACTTCTGGAGACGGTTCAAAACTTATACATTGTTCGAATTGTTTTATGGAGAAAAAACCAGAGGAGTAAATGAGCTCTGGAAAAATAAAATGTGGGTCATTTGGCTCAGGTCCATTCATAGAATGATGTGGATAGAGGACGTTGAAGATACAATTGAATTTAAAAAAAGAATAAAAAAGTGTTACTCCCACATTTATATCCGTGATGGGTACGCCAAGAAGAGGAGGCACTTTAAGAAAGTGAAGCAGAAGAAGATTGTGAATGCGTGGAACCACTTTCTAGATTCTTATATGGACAAGTGGGAGAAGGAAAGGAAGTCCATGGCGATGGCCATGTGCACGGTGGAGAAGAAACTGCCCTTGAAGAAGGGGGCTTAGATCGATCCCGCCTCGTCGCTCATCACGCCGAGGTAGCAGAACTTGCAGTGCAATGACGACAGCGGTATCGACAATGGAAGTAGCATTAGCGGCAGCATTGATAGCAACATTGAAAGCAGCATTGAAAGCAGCATTGAAAGCAGCATTGAAAGCAGCTTTGGTAGCCCATTTTTGAATATCCTGAGCGCCAACACCAACACTGGGCGGAAGGGAAGCCCGCCAACCAAGACAAGGACAGCAACAACGGAGCCAACAGAATCTGTGCCCACGAAAGCGAGGGTAGCTAAAAAAGGGGTGGTTAGAAGAGGGGTAGCCAAAGGAGGGGTAGCTAAAACGGGGGTGGATAAAAATGGGACTGCCAAAACGAGGACTGTCAAAACGAGGACTGTCAAAACGGGAACGGCCAAAACGAGGACTGTCAAAACGAGAAGGGCCAAAACGGGGACAGCCAGAACGGGGACAGCCAAAACGTGGGTACCGAAAACAGGCGCCGTCAAAACTGTCGCCACCAAAACAGCTCAAAGTAAAAGAACGAAGATTCCCCCCCACACTACCACCATCTGCTATGGTCCGCGGCGAATGGATAAAGTGGTCGTCCCTACAACTCACGCTAAGCAGAACCGACGTAAGACAGCTCCACAAGCGAGCGTGTAATCTCCATCCAATTATGAATGTTCTCTATTTTTTTGTTCACTCCTATACTCCATAGTCGCTTCGGACTAGGTGTTGCTTCTCCTAGCGTGAGGAGACATTCCTTTGATAAAACATATGAACTATGTGCCTGTGTTTCCGTGATGTGTACATAACTGATTTTTTTTTTATTTTTTTACCATATATGGAGACTGTCACTTAGGTAGTTTTTTCAATTTATTTTTAATCTTTTTTTTTTCAATCTATTTTCAATTTGTTTTAAATTTTTTTTGTTTCTTTTTAATTTACTATTTTTTTCCAATTTAGTCCTGGCGCTAATTCTCGTAGATGTACCCAAATGGGGACGAAAAAAAAGGAAAAAAAAGAAAAAATTGAAACCGCGGGGTGCAGATGCCAATTATCGCAAGAAGAAAAAAAAACAAAGTACGCTGAGTGTGCATGTGAGTGTACCCAGGCAAGAAATCTTCTGCGACGTCTGACGTCGATTTTGATGGGAAGTGCCTGACGCTGTGGGGGACAAACCAATGAGAATATGCAAACACAAGCTATATATGTTCACATTATAGGCGAACCAACATACGTACGCGCGTTAGGGAAGCAACTTGTCTGGTTGCCCACTTGGTGAACGAAAAGAAACACGTGCCCGCCCCCAGCGGAAAAAGCGGAAGGGGGAGCGCCGCAATTTGGGAACAGGGTAACAGTGAATGGGATAAACCGGATGAAGGAAAAGAGGCATCGTAGTTTGAATGAATCAGCGTGAGTCCCGCGGAGTAATCCCCTTTGGGTCGCTATCAACGAAGAATATGTTGCCCATTGGGTCACAAAATATACCATTTCGTTTTTTCTTGCAATTCAGATTTAGGCGCCGAATGTATATGGGGAGGCCTTTCTCTTAAGCAGGCGCAGTTATAGAGGCCGCGCCCCACGACGCATACGCATGCGTGTATACAATATGCATAGAGAAAAGAAGTGCAAGCCGCCGCCCTACACTGCGTTCTATGCTACGCATATTGTCACGCGCTACCGTTGCTTAGATTACAAAGCGCTCGTCACCAGGACACGTTAAATTTTTAAAAGAAAACAACGCGACTTTTTCCTGTGTTAGAACAAGGAAAAAAAAAAAAAAGCCAAAAAAAAAAAAAAAAAAAAAAAAGGAATAAAGAGATACAGAAAGAAAAATTAGCGCCGCGCCGACGGGGTGGTTTGATCTAGCAAATGGAAACGGCCACTAGAGGAGTTGTTATTTTATTATAATTTATTTCGTTCTAGTTTATCTACCGTGGGGATTTTTTCAAACTAATTAATTAGTTAACCGTGATAATCTTGTTGCGATTGCAAGTTGCCTTTCACGCGCCTGGATTAACTTCAACATCAGCGTTGATTGCGAACCTCAGCGATAGCAACGGCTTCGGTTTCAGCTCCATTCTTGGGATTCTTCGACCTACTTAGCTACAAATCACGCTGAGTTTTCTTTTTCTTCCTTTTTCTGGGGCTCTCTTATTTTTCTCTTGCCAAAGATTAAATAATTCCGTACCTTTCTAATGTATATTTTCTTTGGTTAGAAAAACAGATTGGCTGACCGATGGAGCGACGGACCGATGGACCGACTGACTGATTAACCGACTGACTTATTGATTACTTCTCCTTTCGCCCCCTTCCGAAATCGATAAGCAAAATCAACGCTTTAAAAATCTCTCTAGAACCCTTGTCGTCACGTTTCGAACGAAAGAGAATTAGCGTCTCTAGAAAGAGAGCGTGGCATCTTAGAAAAAAAAAAAAATCTTCACTAGAAGGAAGGAATAATTTTTTAATAGCAATTAAAATTACAATTTCTACTTTTGTTGGAGATTGGTAAATAATCAAAAGAATGTTTTGATAAAGAAGGAGGCTAAGATGACCAATGAGGATTAAACGTCTGTTTCGCTGTACGTCACTTCGAATTGAACGAGGATTTGCACGGACTGCAGAAAAATTGCGCCCTCGTTGGTGTCTCTGTATAGTTTTTAGGCAACGTGTTGATTCGGCACCAGTTGCTTCACTGCCGATTAGGAAATAGAATTCTTCTAGGGTTTTATCATTATATCTCCTCTATACGGAAAGTGTCTTTACTTACATTTTTTCTGTATGGTTCCGTTCCAACCATGGATCGCCAGCCGACCAGGAGAAACACAAACCCGTTTATTGACAGTGAGTTTGGAAAGGAGAGCTTGGGATCGTCACTTGCCTAGGCTGCTAATCTTAGCCCTAACCTTGCATCTAACCCTTCCTCTAACTTTGCCTCTAAACCATGCCGCCTCTCCCCCTGTAGAGACTCCAAACGTATGACACCACCCCCCTGCCCGTTTTTTCCCGTCAGGTACAGAAGACTCCCTGAGGAGCGAGAGATACCCGAATGTCCACCCTGTGAATTTAATCGATGATGATTTTGGAATGGATGAAGGGGTAGGAGCCACTGAAGGGGTTGATTTCAACACCGACGTGGGTTACAACATGGGTTTTAACGCTGCTCCTAACGCAGTTCCGAATGTTGCTCCGAATGTTGCCCCTAACGCTTCCCCTAACGCTGCTCCTAACGATACCCCTAACGCTTCCCCTAACGCTTCCCCTAACGCTTCCCCTAACGCTTCCCCTAAGGCTGTTCCCAATTCCGTCTTCAATTACGACGGCAACTTCGGTGCGCAATGTGGAGAGAACTCCAGGCCTCAGTTGGGCAAAGTTGACGGTTCCCAAGGACAGATCGCTCTGTGCATAGGGGACAACGACAGCATGTTATACTTCATGCAAGCAGTGGCCTTCGCGACGGCTGTTTTTCTGAATGTAAGTGCAGAGCACCTGATGTGGGGATGAGAGGCGGGTTGGCCAAGATTTGTACCCCGAACGGTGCACCAGTTTGGAGTTGCCCCGGCACTCTTCCACTCCGCCGCTTAACCTCCCCTGTCATTTTTCCACTCCGCCGCTTAACCTCCCCTGTCATTTTTCCACTCCGCCGCTTAACCTCCCCTGTTACTCTTCCATTCCGCAGGTGGTCTTCCTGAACAGACACATGCTGAAGCGAAACGTCACGAAGAGCGAATTCGATGCAGTCTTGTCGGGGAAGCTTTCCATGGAAGGGTCTCCGAGTCTAGAGTACCAGAGGGCGAAAGAAAGGTCTTACTCCCCAGTCCACAGCGAAGGGAACAATGATCTCAACGAGACATACCCATTGTTGGGTGACGAGGACTATGAGTATGAACCTTTGTCCTCAGTGGAAGAAGAAGTGGACATTTTCGGACAAGATGGTGAGAGCCCCTCCTCTGAAGAAGGACAGTATCGATTAGACGAGATAGAAGTACCAAACTTAATATACCTGTCTTATGGGAATCCTCCAGATCGGTACCTATTGAACCCATTCGATGAACGAAGCGACCAAGTGGAAGCCGGCAAGAGGGCGCAAAGGCCAACATACCAGCCAGCAAATTATGGAGAAGTCTATGAAGGAGCCCAGTTTGCAGATAAGTACCAAAAGTCGAGTAGCGATTCTGACTTGTTCAGCAACAGTAACAGCTCCCATAGGAATGGCAACTTGCAGAACAATACTTATGGTTATGGGCATGCACCCTATGCTGACATCTTTAGGTACCCCAATTACCCGAATATGTATCAAGCTACTAACTATTCCACTGGTTCCTTCTTTAATGGAAGGATTGAAGAGAACTTGGGAAGCACTACTAGTGGGAGTTCTTCAAATAACTCTGCGAGTGGTGCCAGTGTCAGTGGCAACATTGGAGAAGAGAACTTGGCTTACGGCAATGACGATTCTCAGTTTGCGCACAGCTACCAAGAGAGCAATTATGAAATTACAAACGAGGAAGAAGTAGATCCATTTGAAGACATACGCCTAGATGACGAATTCGACTTTGGAGCTTATGTAAATGAAGGTGCCACCACAGAAGGAGATACTTCTACTACCGGTTCGTCTTCCCAAGGACATACTGCAGGTGCACAGGGAATCACCAGCCCTGGATTTCAAATTGATGAAGGAGATAATGGCTTTAGAGACACAGAAAAGTAGAAGCCTTTTTCAGGAAACCCTTTCGTGACGGAAGAGGTGAGAAGCACTATCATGCGACACGACACTCTTGGTGGTGATCTGTCCCCTCAGGTAGAAGACCTTGAAGAAAAACACAACAGAGAAGTGAGTGAAAAGAGTCGACCAATGGCACAGTCCTACAATGAGGAAGAAGATGGGATCATATCAGCTGGTGAGGAAGATCGATTTAGTGAATATGAAAAGTACCTAAACGCACAATCAAGCAGAAAGGATCAGAAGAATTACGAAAACAGAGTCCGTAGCTATTTGCAGAAATATAAGAGGGTGTCCAAGGGTGACAAAAATGAACAGCTGGACGATGAAGTTGTCTCGGATGTGATTTGCCCACAGGGAGAGTCCCCAGGAGGAAAGAAGTTCCCAGGAGAAGAGAACCCCCCAGCAGAGGAGAAGTCCAATGATGATTCATCCTCCACGGAACCGAAAGAAGATCTTAAGAAAGAGCCCCTAAGCATGGACACTGATACCAAGTACCTGTATGATGAGGGAGAAAGCAGTTTAGAATTCGACGAGGACCCGGAAGAAGTGGAAAACTTGATTGAGACGGATGGGTTGGAGACCCCTGTCGGCGACGTGGCAACGAACGAGGAAGAGTCTGAGGATGTGGGGGACAACCAGGACGAAGTTGAAGTGTCTGCAAGCACAGAATAAGTCGAAAAGGTGGAGGAGGAAGCGCTCGAAAATGACGAAGCAGTGAAGGGGGGGACCAAACTGAAGTATCAATAAGCGTGGAAGAAGCCCAGAAAGTCCCAAACGGGGAAGACATATAAGCGGTAGAGAATGTCGCGGTTGAAAAATGAAGCCACGGAACACGTCCCCTCCAATGATAATGTAGAAGAAAGCGCAAACATCGCTACAGAAGAAACCCCTAACGATGACGAAATTGAAAACTAAAAGAGGTGAGACATACCTTTCGTTAGAGGCACATGGAAAAAAAGAAAAGAAAAAAAAAAAAAAAAAAAGAAACTTATCCGCAACCCCTCGGGGTGCAGTTTATAGAATTCCATTTTGTAGTTCCTCACCTAACTGACTGTCGGATTTTGGTGCCGCCACTAAATGTGTTGTAGATATTTGACACACGTGATGAATTTTTACATAACTCAGAATAGTTCCGTCTCCCAGTCTCCATACCTTTGCATGATTGATTTATTCATTTGTCTTATGACCTTTTTCCTAGTGTCTTTATTTTTTCATTTTTCGTGTTCTGACACGCTGCCTTTTTGTGTTCAACCTGACTATGCGTTTTCAGCAACTTGTGTCTTTTCATGTGTATTCTTTAGGTCTATGTCCCGCACCTTCCCATTCTATGTAGCATGAACTTTCTTCTCTCCATTGATTTGTATTTTTTGGTAACACTAATGCTACACTAACGTATGATATAGTATCAGATTAGGCTTTTATTTTTCCTTTTGTTTTTGCTTTTGTTTTTGCTTCTGTTTTTTTTCCTGTACCAATCGGAAGAATCGCGCGAACGATTGCGATTGTGTGAATTCCTGGAATGTGTGTAATCGGTAGGGCGCATTGATATTGCCACAAAGATTTTCATAAGTTACGACTGATAGTGGCGTGCCGAAAGTTGTACAGTTTTTTTGCGAAGGTTTTTTCCCCACCTTGAGAGCAAGCAGTTTTGTCTATCCTATGGTTGATGACCGACCCTGCTGGTCAGCGAATGCACAGACTCCCTCCTCCTCTCTCTGCGCGCCGTATAAATAAGTCAATTTTTATGGCCATTGGAGAAGGCGTGGAGAGAGGGGACCTCTTTTCTTTTATACGTTAGGAACTAACTGGTGGAGGACATCCATGTTAGAGGGATTTCTTCTTCGGATTAGTCCGTAAAATTAGAAATTCCGTTTCAAAGAGGACGTCTTAGGCGCATTGGATCGGGTGGCGAATTTCTTTGTCGCGTTGTCGAAGGGTGGTCCGCACATCAGCTCCGTTTTTTTTTTTTACCACTCCGCTGCGCTTTTTTTTTCTTCCCCTTTTTGGGAGCAGGATCAGCATAACGGCGATGTTATGCAGCCATAAGGGGGAGTTATATCAAGTCCGACGTAGATAGCAAAGAGATGGTTACAAAGAAGGAGGACACTGCAATATGTACGTTTAACATTCATATAAATTGTGTGACAACGTGGATGATTTCCTGCCTGATGAAACATCGGCTGGACCCCTTCTAACGTGGTGCATAATATAATAGCAGGCTCATTGTCCTTTCTTTAGCGCAGGGATGTAAAAAAAAGAAAAAAAATGAGAACGCACGGTAAAGGTTATAAATGGGAGAAAAATAAGTTTAGAACAAGTGGAGAAATCGTCAATCGGGGTTGGCAAATGAGTGGCGCAGGTTTGATAATTTGGATAACTAGCTGCGAAAGGATGGCCAGACGGCTTCGAAGAAGGAACCATTTTTGGCTAGACGAAAAAGGCGCCCTTGCAGAAGTATCTACCAACGCAAGAACAATTTTGCAAAAGGAATTATTCCCCTGCCCAATGTTCTTAAATGTGAGAAAATCTTTTCTATCTCCTTAGTCAAAGAAAGAAAGGACATTTTTTTAGTTGAAGGAGTTTTATCTTAGTGGAGAAGATATTATTTACTGCTCCCCATTTGCTCTTACGAGAAAAAAAAAAAATTTCACAAGGAAGTTATAAACACTATTGCATCGTGACTCTAAGTTAACAAAATTTTTGACAAAAGTTATTTTGTTTTATGCAAAAAGTCATTGCCGTATTATTGGGAGCGCTCTTTAGGATTATCCTTTCTCTTATACGAATTTCCTGCTCTTTAAGAAGAAAAAGAAAAAAAATATACCCTCACGCCGCATTTATTGTACGGTTAGCAGGTAGATATGTATGTCTGAAATGAGAGAAAATTTCAGAGTTTTTTTTTTCCTATACTTAAATAAAAAAAAATACATATATGCAATATAAAGATGCATATATTTATTTAGTAATATGCGCCCTGTTATGCATTAGCTTTGAAAAAAACTAGAGAAAAAAACATTTTCCACGATTGTTGGAAGTTCTGTTTATTATTACTTGGCAAGTTTAGGTACTCACGTATATATTTTTATATACGCCATTTGTTATAGGTAACAGAAAGAAAAGATATATTTTTTCAAGCTGTCAGAGAAGTAAAAACGCATTTAAATTTAAAGAATTTGCTTTTGCTGTTTCTGAATTCGTTTTGTTGTTTGAAGAGCTATGCTCGTTTTTTAGCATCTTTCTTTCCTCCTGCTTTTTAGCCTTTTCTTTTTTTTGCGGATTTTTTAGGCTTTTTTTTTTGTCGATTTTTTAGGCTTTTTTTTTTGTCGATTTTTTAGGCTTTTTTTTTTGTCGATTTTTTAGCCTTTTTTTATGTCGATTTTTTAGGCTTCTTTTTTGTCGATTTTTTAGGCTTTTTTTTTTGTCGATTTTTTAGGCTTCTTTTTTGTCGATTTTTTAGACTTCTTTCTTTGCCGCTTTTTCAGACTTCTTTCTTTGCTGCTTCCTTTTGGTTGTAGTATAGTACGCGTATAGGTAGCAAAACCGCCTGCATGAATTTTTAAATTTGCGCGAACATGCATAGGGCTGAGTTAATGCATAACAGGTGAAGGTAGACATACAGCACAGTATACAACACAGTATACAACACAGCACACTGCGCATGCATATGGTCTCTTTCTGTATGCTGTAGGACTGCAGTGGTGACCCCCTGTGAGACTCCCTATTTTAGCTGCCCAGTAGCTTCGCCAAAAGAAGGAAAAGTAGCCCCCGTATTTTTTCTTTTTTTGCCGAGGGATTTTCGCACAGATATTTGTGGAAGCGAATTTCTTTCTTTTGCCCAGGGAGGTAGCGAAAAAGGCGTACGTATATTCCTTTGCACGGCTCACACCAGTGGAAGGAAGTTTTTAACCAGCGCGCTGACCCCGCGAACGGTCCATTTCTGTTTTTGCCTTTTTTTATGAGATAAAGGAAATAAAGAAAGTGGAGGGAGATGCATTAGTGTCCTTCTCTTTTGCAATTTCACACCACGTGTACAAACGTTGGTCATGACAGAAGAGTTCGTTTGCCGCTTATTCCAGCATCATAAAATTGAAGGTAAACCCACGTAGCAGTTGCCAGGGAGGAAGGGTCCAAGTACCACCAAAAACAAAAGAAAAAGCGAGTCAGCAAAAAATGGTGCCCTCAGATCCATTTCGCAATTGCGCAGCTGAAGGGCGTCTACCCAATTTGGACTCCAGAGTGGCGAAGCGTGTCCCGGGACTCACATCGCCGGAAGTGGGATTGGATGAATCGAAGGGGGCCCCGAGAAGGAACGGCAGCACCATGGGTCTTGTGTTGCGTAAGCTCGCTGTTATCTGCGCCTTGTTTTTCTTGCTTCAGGTGAGGAGCATGAGCGTGAAGCGCCACCTGAGTACATGAATCAACAAACGAGTAAATGGACGGACAGATGGATAAATAAATATATTTATATTTCTATATATATATTTATATTTAAATATCTATGTTTATATTTACATATTTATGTTTATATTTACATATTTATGTTTATATTTACATATTTATGTTTATATTTACATATTTATGTTTATATTTACATATTTATGTTTATATTTAAATATTTATGTTTATATTTACATATTTATGTTTATATTTATACGTGTGTGTGTGTTTACGTACGTGTTCCTGGCCCCCCCAGACGTGCACTCATTTGAATGGTGACCGTTTCTAATCTGTGCCACTTCCCTCTTCCGAAACGCAGAACCGCCCTCAACTGGACAGAAAGGACCCAAGCGATCTACGGGAGAAGGAATCATACTGGAGACAGCTGTCCCAGCATAAGACAGATAAAAGGGAAGAAAATGTAAGCGTGAGCAAGGAAGGGTTGGACAGACTATGGAAGGAAGAAATAACTAAATGGAAAGCGGACATGTACGAACTAAATAAAGAGACCTTCTGGGAATTCAAAAAGGTGTGCCTAATTAACAATGTAAACTTCAATTGGGAAAATGAATTCTGGGCAAAATTCAGAAACCAAGTGAGTAGAAATATTTACACAAAGGAACAGAAGGATTACGAGGATTTTTCAAACTTAAAGAGTAATAAACCAACAGAAAAGGAAATAAAGGACTTTATTATGTCCAAGAGAAAATCCTTCGATATATTTTGTGATTTCCTGAGAAATGAAAGGTCGTCACTGATCGATCACGTCCTTAAGGAATGGATGAAAGAGAGGAGTATGGTTTTGGACAAAATGGGGCACAAGAAGTGCAAGATCCAGAAACTACTAAAGAAAATACAGAAGAAGAAGATCGCCAAGTATTATTCGTAGTGGTGTGACGGGAGAAGTAAATCACGCTCATAAAAACGATGAAGAAGGTAAAAGGAGGATGGGAAAACGGGGAAGGCAATAATTATAACGGAAGAAGACCTACCAATTTCTTAGAAGGTCAACGATCAGACAAGGAAAAATACCACGCTATACCTGCAGTGATGCAGGGAACAACCCCCCTCCCCTCCTCAGAGGATCAACAAACCTGGAAGAGTTTTTCATTCTTCCTTTATCATGGCGCCGCACGAAAGATGAAGAATACCCCTTCCGATACGAAGCAAATTGTGTGCCCGAATCACGGGGAGGCTTCCCCAGTGCGTCACACAGATTATAACAGTAGGAACGTGCTGCAACCGTTCCAGGAAAGAAATAGCTGACGCAGAGGGGTGGTCACTATTCATAGAAGTGTTAAACATCCAGGTAGTGCAGTCGGAAGAGTCCCCGCCTTTTTTAAAGAATGGACAAGTTATAAGTGTTAATCACGCAGCATGTGCACGAAAAGGAAGCTGCTGTTGAACACTACCAACGGAGGGAGATTACCCTGATGAGAAACATGGTCTGCCGACCCCCTCCCAATGCAAAGCCCCCTTTTGTTGGGGCGGAGTATGTAGGAGGACGACACCCAAGGGGAAAAAATCCATTCAAAAAAAAAAAAAAAAAAAAAAGACATATCCATGCCATATGTATATATGTATGGATGCAGGCTTGTGTATGTGCCCCCCTCGTTTTTTTAAATTTCTCTTTTCCTTTGTTCCTTCACTTCACTGCGTATGGACGAAATATACACATTTTGCCTGTTCAAAGATGTCCGTTTTTTCGGAGGCCTTTATTTTTTTATTTCCCCCCATTTCTATGCTGCTTTGAATGGGGCCCGCCGACGTGACATTTGATAAAAACTCCCCTTGAGGGTAGACTCTTCCCAGCGACGCCCCCCAGGGGAGAATAAAAAGTGCCTCATACTTTTTGTGTTATATATTTTATATTACCATTCATATTTTTTCGTATTTTCGCATTTTTGCATTTTCTCTTTTTCGCCTTTTCCCCTTTTATTTTCTTTTTTTCTGTAGTGCTAATACATTTTCCTTCTATTTATCGCACAACTTGCACATTTGTTTAGGTAACTCACCATGCCATTATGCGTAATCGGTCTCGTGTTCCTCAGATTGGCTCCACCGACCCACTCCAAATTTGTGTTACATGTTTATGCTTTTAATTAACTGTGCATTTTGAAGAATAAGGCAAAAAAAAACGAAAAAGTTCCATTTATTATGAACAGCGTCATTTGGAAATTTTTTAAAGAAAAAATTAACTTAACATTTCGAAAAAGTGCGAGCCCCTTTTTTGTGGGGGATATGCGTTCTTGCCCGATTATAGCTTTTGCGTGGTGATCAAACGTGAAAACTCTTCCCCCCAAGTGGGTAAACTGGAATAGGGAAAAAAACTACAGGTGTAGTGACTGACACGTGAGGGAAAATCCTGGAGGAGATCAAAACAATGCCGGAATAATTGCAAATCATCCGTATGCATCACAGAGGGGAGTCCATATTGGTACAGAGCATAGAGAGATTAACATGTGAAACCGGATAAGCGAGTATGTGCTGTTGTGGTGCCACCCGAAACCAACGACAATGAAACTCTTTTTTGATAAGAGTTTGATAAAACTTAAAAAAAAAAAATTAAAGTGTATATACCAGAAGGAGAAAAAGAGGACAATCAGCGTTGGGTTAAATCAAAAAGCAGGCATGGGGAACAAAAAAATTAAAAGAAAATAAAGGGCGCTTGTCTTTCTTATGATTCGGAAACCCCCTGGACGGTCAACCTCCGCCACTTCATGATATGGAATTTAATAGCCCCAAGGGGTAGAGTGGGGGTGGGACGAAAAAGAAAAGGATGTCTTCCGATAAATGGACATACCACCCCACATGCTATATACGGAACGATGGAGATATGCATCCCCTTCCCCTGGCGTCCAATCAAATGGTCGTTCCAGTGTCGACTCACATGACCGCTGAAATGACCGCTCACGTCTGCCTTATAAGGTATTCTTTACTGGGACAAAGTTGTAAATAGGCCTCTTGTCAATGTTATCCTCATAAAAAATGATATCTCTTTCATTTAGGAACTGCTCCTCATCATCGAGGTCTTCGAACATGGAGTCGTTGTCTACATAGAACAGACTACTATTTTCCTGAGAATCCTCAATGTCAACTTCTGTCAGGGCGGGAGGTGGTTCGGAAGATTCCTCAGTTTTCTCCTTCTGCGCAAATTCTTTCGTGTTAACTCTTGCCCTAATTCCCTCCTCATAGTAGCCCTCATTCTTGACTCTGTCGTAGGCCCGTCTGAGCGACTTGAGCAGAGCGTCCGTTGTAACTCGGTTGTACAGTTTTTTTATGAATACATTCACATAGTTTTCTAGGATGGTGTAGAATCTATCGAAGACACGGAAAGTGTTTCTCAATAGGAAAATAACGTTGTCGTAATAGGCATACCACCTTAAAACAGTAAAAATGAAGAATGTGATTGACAAGGAGTGGACCATTGCCATTAAAACAATTCCACTGATTCGATGTGTTTCTGGCTTTTTTGGGGGAGGAGTATTAACGAGGCCTTTCGTTTGCTTTGACAGTTCTTCGCTCAGCGGGTTTGGGAAGAACAAATGGTTCCGCATGTATGCGTTTCCACCGCTATAGATGGACAGGTAAGCGAAATATTGTAAGCTTTTGAGTCCCTCGAGTCGGGTCTCGTAGTATCCCTTCCAAAAGCCATCTTTATATTTTTCTACTTCCCCTATATCCATCTTGATCTTCATAAAGAACGCAGCTATGACGATGGGAATATACTTCTTGTCGAGGAACTTCATCGCCTTTTGAAAGACGTAGGTATTAGCACTCGTCATGGATTGATAATCGCAAAGTGCACTCAAATTGTTCAAATTGTAGATAGCAAAGAGATTGGACGCCAGCCTGTACATATTGGCCAACACAAAGGTCTTTCCGTACTTGAGCTGAATGACAGGCTTCTTTATAAACATGGGGAAGAAGACATTTAACATACTATCAAACATATTACCATAGTAGACGTACTTAAACTGGAGTGCCGGTTCCTCTTCCACTGCGAGGCCCATCATGCTGGCATTTCCAAACTTTCTGTCCAGCTTGTTTATGTGTCTGCTTATACGTGTAACGAACATCATTTGAAATAGCGTATACATGGTTTTTTCGTAAAATCGGGAGGCCATGGATAGGTGGATTTCTTCCTCCCGCACTTCCTTTTCCAGTTTGGAGTAGTCCTGGCGCACGTTGAAGAAGAAAATGTTGTTCATGCTCTGCGGGGAGGGATGGAGAGGAGAAGCGGATGGGGAGGAGAAGCGAATAGACAGGTTGATGAAGAGGAGAAGCGAATAAAGAGGTTGCGGTGGTCACTCTCCTGGCATGTTTGCACTGCACACACACGTGGTTCCGCATTCGTAATGCGCCCTCTGCGCTGTGCTGTATGCACTCTTCCCCATGCACTCACTATGTCATCGTTCCGCCTGTGCGAGAAGAAGCTGTACTGAATTTTCTTGAAGAGCAAGCGAACAGTCTGCAGGAAGGAAATCTCGGTGAAAATGGCCTGGTTCCTCTGATAGATCACATACAAGGCTTCCACGATTTCCCGGAGGTAAACCTTGTTGAAGGTGTATCCATAAATCAACCCGAATTTGTAGAAGTTCAAGGGGTTCCCAAAGATGTTGTGAAGGAAGTAGTGCACCTGCTGCCTTAGGATAATCGATTTAGGGGTAGCACCAAAAAATTTTCTCAAAAGCATAATATCTCCAAGGAAGTAGATGTTTTCAAAATTTTTTTGGTAGAGTTCATATGAATCTCTGAGGAGCATGGTTTTGTTGCTTATGTTGTAGGGCCCAAAATTTTTAAACAGCGTCTTCACGTGCTTCTGATTAAAATGGTTGATAAAGGACTGCTCGATGACTTTCTTCAAGTGCAAGGTCCACTTAGTATACTTGGGAGCCACAAACTGTCCCTTTTTCTGTTGCTCTGGCATGTTGTACCTTCCCTTGGGGTCTTCGTAATTTATTAAGGGGAAGCTGTACATGTAATTCGAGAACCAATGACTAAACTTCCCTTCGATCTCCATCGTCATGGCAAATGGATGATGTTGCCCTAGAGGCGTTTCGTTTAAGTAGTAAAAGAAATCCATCTGTAGCACAGAGTTTACGTGGATTATGAACTTGATACACTTCTTCATCTTATCCAGGATGTCCTCGTCTATCATCTTTTCGAGCTCTGTGGTGGGGAGAAAGAGGGACGTTATTAGATGTCCAAGTGGGCAGTCCAAGTTGGCAGTCAAACTTGGCAGTTGAACTATCCAGTCAACGATCGATCTGAAGTGGTATGTGGCGTGAAGCGGTGGATTGGCCTAGCTGGGTGTTCTCCTTTACTGTCCCACTGCCAAGCCATCTCCACGAAAATCCTCCTGTTCCCCTCGTCGCGTATTACCTTTCAGCAGTTTCACTGCCTCGTCCTTCCTAGTGCGGTTCGTGATGTATTTCTTCAAGTAGGAGGGATACCAGTGGTATGTCAGCATGGTTTTCTCTTGCTTGTCTTCGTCTTGTATGTCCAGGTGCATAGCGTTGGATATGCTGTACTGCGCGATGTCTGAGAATGGGCGGGGTGGGAAGAAAGGAAATGCGAAGAATATGATCAGATGGATGAGGAACAGGGCGACGAGTTTGACACATGTCCCGCGGGAGTACTCGGTGCGCTTTGTACCCAAGTGCTTTGGGTCTGTACTAGCCAAGTGCAAACAGCTTTCCTCTTAATGAGTCCTCAAAGACAATGCAACTTTTCTCCCCATCGAGTTACCTTTATAAGTAGTCATCCTAAACAGGAAGAGGAAGGTAAACCAGTTCAGGTCGTGCATTAGGAAACTGTTGTATTCTTCATATATATTCATAAGCCTAATCAGGTCGCTCACCATGTTCACCTTGAGCACTTTCGTCGTGTATCCGTTGTACTTTTGCAGCATGGACATGCTGTCCTGCACTTGGTCTGTACGTGTACGGAGGGGAAGAAGATGGTTAGTAGGGGGTGCGCGGCGGGGTAAATAATAGAAGCTTGTTAGCGAAAGGAAACCTCTGACGGTGAAGCAGAAATGTTAGGCGATTCCCTACGGATGAGTAAACCACGCCGGAGCAAAGGACGACTTCTCACGCAGACTAACTGTTAATGTAGAAGAGGGTTCCTTCGCATATGTTGCACTTGGAAGAGTCGAACTTTTTGTTTCTAAATAAGGATCTGATTTTGAAGGCCAAGAATCTCTTGTTAGTCCCACTGTAGCACATCGCAACACCTGTATGGAGTTTAGTGCACGCAGGGTATGAGCACCGAGTCTGCAGGGAGTCAACGGCGAGTCAACGGCGATTCCGCAGCGAATCAGCAGCGAATTGCTATTTCTGCGTGAGAGGGTGGCATCATCAGCATGCAGCTGGGGATAGGTTTCCCGATATGTCGTCTTTATGTTTACATTTTACGAGGTTATCAGAGAGATCCTTCATCGATTGATTGTCTTGGTAAGCCAATTGTATCGCTGCGAGGGTGGATGGGTGCATAATAATGTTTGTTCAGATCAGTGTGCAGGGTACCCTCCCTATGAGCCATCTATGCGAAAAGTGCTACACAGAGGATGTGTACGAGTCTGGATTTTATGACCCCTTGGTTGGTTCTATACGCAAGTTTTCTATGTGTGTTTTTTATCCGTGTTTTTTTTATTTTAATTTATTATTTTATTTTATTTTCTTCCCGGTCGGCGCCCTTACCGTTGTAGTAGCCTGGCAGATAGAGAGACCCGACATAGGCATCCATATGTCCATCTGATGTTGGGGAGAAATGACGAAGATGAGAGGCGGCATAAGAGGTGAGTGAGTAGTAGTATTGCTTGGAAGAGGGGTGCAACTCCTAACGCTGAGGTAATTGGGCAAAGTCTTACTCAAGAGGCCGATCATGCTGAGGAGGTGTAGATACAGAACCTGATCCCCATTAAAATCGTTATAGTACTTTATAAAGTTGACATAGTTTGTATAGATGTCATGAGGATTGTTCTTTACCGGGGAAAGGAGTTTGGTCTGTTCGAAGGTATAGTTATGGTTGTCCACAAATGGAAAATCCTTCTGAATGTCTTCTTTAAACTTCGGACCATCATAGATGGAACAGGGCCCATTCTTACCCTTTTCGCACATGAAGTTAAAATATTTCTCTTCTAAGTGATCATTCTCCATTAACATTTGTAGATTTAAGTTTAATTTGGAAGCATTTGTGAATAGCTCCATCTGATATTTATTGATGTGATGTAGAAGGAACTCCAAGATGGTGCATTCTTCTGTCGTAGACGATATGTTGTTTTTTAAGTAGAGTTCTGTCCTCTTCTTATTTCCTTCGTAAGTGTTACTTTCGTCACAGAGAAGATCCAGCACCTTGTATCTGTCCGAGTGGTTGAACCGTAGGATGCTATGCCAGTTGTGGAACTTGATGTTGCCAATTTGGAAGAATTTGTTATAGTGCTTGTGGGCCAGTTTGAGAAGGATGAAATGGCCGAGGGCTGCAGTTGTCCGGGAGAAGGGATTGAAAGTGTAGGCAAAGGGATTAGAAGTGTAAGCAAAGGGATTGAAAGTGTAGGCAAAGGGATT